CTATAAACAAGAGTGAGCATATATTGCTGTGATATGACGCTTTTTCTTTTCTTTTTTTTTTTTTTAAACAGGAATCAAACTCAGGGCCTCGCACTTGCCAAGCAGGTTCTGTGCCACTAAGATATATCCATAGCTGGGTCAAATGGGACTGGTTTTTATGCGGTCTCCACACTGATTTCTACAGTGGTTGTACCAGCCTACACTCCTACTAACCATAGGATTCCTTTTTCCCCATAGTCTCACTAGCATTTGTTATTAGTTGTTTTATTGATAATAGTCATTCTTCTGGTGTGAGACAGAATCTTAGTATTGTTTTATTTTGCATCTCTCAAATACTAGTGGTGTTGAAGATTTTTTCATATATTTATTTGCTGTTTGTACATCTTCTGAAAAATGTCTGTTAATTTCAGATACCCAGTTTTAGATTGGTTCTTTGAATTTGAAGGGGCTGGTGTTTTCAGGTTTTTTATGTTTTACATATTAATTGTTTAAAGAACAGCTGGCATAAATTATTTCCTACTCTGGGTTGTCTTTTCACTGTGTTGGTGATTTCTTTTGCTGTGCAAAAGCTTTTTAATAATATGAGATCCCAGTTGTTGATTCTTTGTGATAGTTTCTGTGTGATCTAAATTTTGTTCATAAAGTCTTTGCCTACATCTATGTCTTCCATTGTTCTCCCTGGTCTATCTTCCAGCAATGTTGGTGTTTCTGTTTTAATATTTAGGTCTTTGATCCATTTTGATTTTAATTTATTAAAATCAGGAACAAGACAAAGATGTCCACTGTCACCATTCCTTCCTATTCAGTATAGTTCTGGAAACATTGACCAGAGTAATTAGACATGAGAAAGAAAAAAAGGAATTATAAGTAAGAAAGAAGTTAAATTATCATTATTTGCAGATGACATGATACTCTACATAGAAGATCCCCAAAACTCCTCCAGAAGATTTCTAGATTTAATAAACAGATTCAGTAGAGTAATTGAGTACAAAGTTAACACTCAAGAATCAGTAGCATTCCTGTGGACAATTAATAAACTCACTATGAGAAATTAGAGAAATAATAACTCTTCACAGCAGCATCAAAAAAAATGAAATACTTAGGAATCAATCTGACAAAGGAAGTAAAAGATCTCTACATTGAAAACTACAGTTCTCTGAAAAAGAAGATTGAAGAAGATATCAAAAAATAGAAAGATATCCCTTGCTCTTGGGTAGGAAGAGCCAACATAGTGAAAATAGCCATGCTCCCAAAATTACTGTGCAGATTTAATGTAGTCTCAATCAAAGTACAATTAGCATACCTCATAGAACTAAAGAAAACATTCCTAAAATTCATTTGGAACTAAAAAAGACCTGGAATAGCATAAGCATTTCCAGGCAACAAAGGCAAGTCAGGGAAGCATCACAATCCCTGACTTGAAATTATACTACAGAGGTATTGTGATAAAAACAGCATGGTGCTGGCAATAAAACAGACCTGAGAATCAGTGGAACAGACTAAAATCAGCAGAAAATAACTCCAAATGCACTAGCCACCTGATCTTGATAAAGGGGCCAAACACATTCACTGGAAGAGGATATCCTCTTTAATAAATGGTGTTGGAAAAACTAGCTTTCCTCATGCCAAACTAAAAGTAGTTTATAGTCTTTAGCAGTTCATTTAACCTTTTATAGGTTCTTTTCCAAGTGCCTTGATAGAATGTGTCAGAGAATGAAAATGGGGAAATGACATCATTGTCTTGGTAGTCCTATAAACTTTAGTTCATCCAGTAATATTGTAACCATTGCTGTTGGCCTTATTCAGCTTTGGAAGTCATCTCAACATTGCTACTAGAGTTGACTGGTGAAACCTGCTGCAAAAGCCTTACCAAACTCGTAACCCTACTATGAGCCCCAGCTCACATTCTAAATGAGCAGACTCAAAAGCGTCTCTCTTTTGTGCCCTCAATTTCCTCAATTCCAGGTTTGTCATTTCAGATGGCTGCTTGGAGATGGCTCTGTCTGGGGTCATTACTCTGGAGTCCAGCATTAGTGTAGAGTCCTGAAAAATGAACAAGGAGTTCGGGCAGTTCAATTGTTTGTTCAGCATTGAGCCTCACTCTCCTTACATCATGTTTATCTATAAACAGCCTATGACTTTAGATTTTCTCTAGGCTCAAATACAGTGCAGGAAGTATGAATCTTGAGGACTCACTGGTACCTGTGTGCATAGGAAAGCATTATTCTTTTCTCCATATTTAAGAATCTGGAAGGTACACTTCTTTTCTCTGACTCTGGTCTACCTTCCCATCTTGATGGGTATAAATTTGTCTCTTCTATCCCAGGCCTTTAGCTAATGTGTATAGTTGTCAATACGCAGAATCAGCCAAGAAACTAGATTTTGGGAGGAATTTTGTTTTTAGATTACAGATTGACTTTGTGTTTGTGATATAGGGAGCTCATTTCTTTAAAAAGTTTTCATCCCTACTGAAAGGAAATTGTTGGACTGTATGTCATTGTAGTAAAAGAAAAAAAAAATCTTCGGTAGTATGCACCTGTAATCCAAGCACTCTTAAGGTGAGAATCACAAGATCAAGTGCAGCCTAGATGGCTTATCAACTTAACAAGACTCTGCCTGAGAACAAAAAAGAGCTAGAGATGTAGCTCAGTATAAGGCCTTGGGTTCAATTCCCAGAGCCCCTGTTTTCAGGCCCATAGAAAAATGCTAAATGTTTAAGATTTTGAGGGTGGAGAGGCAGACAGAATTGAAGTGGAAATATAAAGTCAAAGAAACTATATGGCTCCAGTATTTAAGTTGGGGTATTGGAACATATTCAGTATTGAATTACCTGAGACATGGGAATTCTAAGATGGAAAGAAAATGTAACAGTAGGTATATTTGGTGTTCATTTTTCCTGGCTAGACATCGAAAACACTTTGTACAAGTTGATTGTCCATGTATGTAAAACCTGCTGCTTAATTTTTTGTGTGTGTGGTGCAGTGGTTTTTAAATGGAAGGTTTGGCTGTATTAGTGGGTTGTAAAATAAAATTTTGAAGAAATGAAGTGGAATAGAAAATATCAGAAAGCATCACAGTAAATGGGTATTGCTTTGTCAATCATTAAGAAATACATGCATTTGTAATGGGAAATTTAATTCTTATTATGAGTCATGATGGTGGGTTTTAGTTTGTGAAATCACTGCTTTAGAGAATACAAAGATAAAACTTCTTAAGGAACTCGAGATAACAGATTTTCTAAGACTGCTACTCAGTATGTTTCTCTGTCTAGTTAGAATTTTGTGCCCTGGATGGAGGTTCTAAGCCTTTCTTTAGGTAGTGGTTCTGTGTAATAAATTGCTGCTGATGGCAATTACAGTTTTATCATTATTTTACTAATGATTATTTTTAAATCAAAAGGTCCTTTTTAGGACCTTTCGTGTATTCTAAGATAGTTACTAAATGTAAAAGGTTGTCAATAAAATTACTTTTGCAAGATTGTGGAGCTGTATAGGAAGGGAAGAATATCTTTTTCATTAATGAACTTGGAAGTTGCTATAGTTTTACAACTCTCACATTTTGATTTTTGAGTAAAAGACTACTCATTTAGTATTTTCGATGGTCAGTAGCTATAGTTTGTAGACAGGCGGCATTTTAATTCAGATATCTTTCTCCTATGTGGGGTTTTTTTTTTTTCCCCCTTTTTCCTTTTTAAGACAAAATCTTGCTATGCAGTTCAGGCTGGTCTTGCACTCACTTTGTGGCTCAGGCTGGTCTTGAACTTGCAGTGATCCTCCTGCCTCAGCCTCCCGAGTGCTGATATTACAGGTATGCACCATCATACCCTCTTTTTCCTATTTGGAATCTGGCTTCATGCTTCTACAATTTTTTTCCAAATGGACAGAATCAGCTATTATTTTTTTGTTACATCTCTGAAGCTCATCTTTTTATAGCTTTCCTTCAAGAAACATATATCACACCTAGCTTAAGCTCAGGAAAAGTAGTTCAAATGGGAAGCAGTTTTTACAGAATTGTTCTTCATTCAGTAATTATTGTTTGTTATTCTATAGCTTCTCCCCCAGGAGAGCAAATCTTTGTTTTCTGATCACCAAAGCACTGTTTTGTGCTTTTATTTGTTGTGGTGGTCCAGCCCCCACCAGCTTTTATTTTATAACTTGTAACATGACTTATATATATTAATGGTCTGCTTAATGTTTTTGTTTTAATAAAATTACTATCTAGGACGGTGTCTATTTTTAAGGAAGAAAGTAATTCAGATTTACTGACATTTAATTAGGTTCAACCAAATTCATTAGCCAAATGTACAGATTGTACCTGCTTTGGTAGATGTTCTTACAGATGTTCAGGACTTTGCTTAGTTTGGATTTTCTGGTATTCATAGGTGCGGGCAGTTAGGTTTCCACTTAACTACAGATCTAGCTTGACATGATCTGAGCTGACAGTTACTTGTTGCTGTTTTTATTATCCTTGTATTTCACTGAAGAAGTATTAACACTTAATTAGTAACCCTGGTTAAGTTTGTGAGCTAATATTATAAGTACCATTTTACCTTTCTAAAATCCTAAAACCTCTCATATTCTGAAATCTGACTCAGAAGTTCTCAGACAGATTCATAGATCATATCATTACTCTTGGTGATCTTGCTAAATGGTTTTATTTCTTCACATGTATACTATTGATCTGAGTGTAGAAATAGGAAGTTAGCCAGTGTAGTGATAAGAAAGAACATGAATTTGGGGGAGCAGAAAAATATGCAATGATAACCTCTCCACCTGTTTTGTCCTCTGTAAAAGAAGTTCAGGGATGGTAGAGTTTAGATGAGATAATATAGTTCTTCGTGAAAAGTTAATCTTTTTTCTCTTTTTTAGTCAGTCTGTCAGAGCTAAGTACATGTAATTATATAGGTTCTGCCTTTTAACAATTTTAAATATAATTGAACAAGATAACTCTGCTTTTATTCCACCTGTTCTGCAAAGTAATATTTCTGTCTCTCTCCCTAGGAGAGCATGTAACGTCAAGGTTTAAGAACGAAGTAGAACGGATGGGTTTTGATATGAACAATGCCTGGAGGATTTCCAATATCAATGAAAAATACAAGTGAGTTATGGGTGCCTGTGTTTCATAGGGAATATCTTTACAGAAACACCAGGTCTCATGTAGAATGATTGAACCATACTTTTGTTTTGAAATGGAATTTGATTTATTAGGTCTAAGTGTGTGACCTTCAGAGTATTCTTGAACTTTCTGTTCCTATTGCTGTTGCTGGAGTAGAAAATAATCCTTAATAGGATCTATCTTCCTTTTTACCAACCACCAGGACTATATTCTTCCTAGTACATATATGTCTGGATAATATTGTGTATTTACCCTAAGGCAGACAGTTTCGATTATTTGCATTACTACTTGGCATCATTCTAGTGTGATCAGTGATCTTATAAGAAGTGACAAAACACTTAGGAGCTAGACTTTATGATTAATTTTGTTCTAGACTCTATAAAATAGACCTAAGTATTTCAATATGTCGCCTAAACCTAACTTCATAGTTAGGATCATGTAACCATTAAATACTATGGTAACCATTGTTAGATATTTAACATCTTGTTTCCTTAAAATATATGAGAGATTGGTGGAGAGGGAGCACTTAACTACTGTGAGTTTGGTGATCTAAGTTTCATAAACCAAAACTGTACAGTACATTTAAATTAATATATCCTTAAGTTTCCTCACTGCACTATTCATTGTTTTATGAACTATCTTAGGTTATAGCCATTTTTCTGGTCTGTTTATGGCAGGCCATCAGATGGTTTCATTTTTATTAGAAAGGCTGTATAGTTTATTGCTGTATTCAGCAGCTTTTAACATGGGAATTAAGAACCTGGGATCTTTTTTTTTTTTTTTTGTCTTTCTTCTTTTTATCGGTACCGGGGATCGAACTCACGACTGCCTGCTTGCAAGGCAGGCGCTTATGCCGCTGAGCTAAATCCCCAGCCCCAAACCTGGGATCTTGAAAGGAGTTAAAGTTTACAGACCTAACTCCTTGTTCTCAGTGACAAGTGAAAGCAAAGGAGAAAGACTGGAGGAGGGAGAGGCTTCAGAAAGCTTGAAGCTGGCACAGGCTTTCCTAAGTGCAGCCCAGTTTTCCTCCCCTGGCTACTGCTTAGCCACATGGGAGCACCTGATCCTTGTAGAAAGGCTAACTTCTGGATAGTGTAACATCTGTGGGACAGTGAACATATTTAGAAAATTGGAGTAAAAAACTGAATTAAACAAAGCTTGCTTTAAAAAAGTTTCTGAGTGCTGGGGGTTTAGCTCAGTGGTGTAAGTGCCTGTGTGATAGGTGTGAGGTCGTGAGTTTGATCCCTGGTACCTCCCAAAAAAGTTTCTGATTAATATGGAATTTAAAAATAGCTTCTTGTCTTGGATTGACTAGTCCATTTCAGAACTGGTGTTAGGCATTGAAGAGTTCTTTCTACTACAAAGGAAAAATAAAATTCATTTGAAAACAAAATGAAAGGATTGAAACTCATGCTTAGAATATTAACTATGGTCACTGTGTCCTACGTTATTTTTCAGAGTTTGTGGGTAGGTGTTAGGAAGTTTATGTAATGTTTCTCAGTCAAAGCCATTTTCCTGGATCAGTGGCTTTTAAATTCCTGATACTTCATCTTCTGGAAATGAAAAACAGAAAAAAAGTTAGTGCATTGTCATCAAAACCCCCAATTTCCAAGCCAGAGTATGTTGGTTGGTTTTGTTGTTTTGGTTTGATTTGGTTTGGTTTTATTGTTTTTGAGATAAGGTCTCACTTATGTAGTTCAGGCTGGCCTTGGACTCATGTGAACCTCCTGTCTCAGCCTCCCAAGTGCTGGGATTACAGATGTGCACCATCACACCTGGCTTCAGTGTGAGTTTTTCTGCCTGTTTCTGTCCAATGCATAGGATAGAGTAGGGCAGAGGGTAGTGGTGGTGGTAGTAAAAGTGACTGAATTTGTTTCCAGATTTGAATTAAAGGCCCCAATGCCTTCATCATTAAAAAGGAAGATGAAGTTACCTATAGAGATTACCTGTAAATAAAAACCTGTCAGAAGTACAGGTTTGCAGTTCATCAGCTTGACTAGCATGCAGCTGGCACAACATCTTCCCTAATAAAAAGCTTCTTTCTCTTCTTTCTTTGTTTGGTATATTTTACCAAAATTATGATTAATGACTTACTTTACTAAGATGGCCCGATAGTACTATGATTATGTATATACATAGTCAAGTACATGGTTTTGCTTTGTACTCGTGACTGCTCTGTTTACCTATAATTAGGACAACCTGTTTGGTTTAGATCAAAGAATGACTTAATTTTAAGAGGTCTCTGGAAACTTGGAATTGTGAGTTTTTGTCTTTCTTTTCTTGTTTTCCTTTCAGCAAAATCCTGAAAGAACAGTAATTGCATTAGGTGCTCATGTAGTTAGAAATGACCTATTATTTGTCGTAACAGAGTTGCCATGGAGAATAAAGAGAATACCCTTATTTCCCCTTTTTTCATTGACAATTTGCCAGATTCCCAAAAGGCAATGACAAATGGAACAACCCAAGGTAGTATCACATGGAAATAGAATATAGTGGCCTAAAACACTTTTAGCAACCCATTTTGGTTTTGAATAGATCAAAATTCAGATAATGCTTCTCATTTCCTTTTTTTTTTTTTTTTTTTTTGATTTGCAGTGCAGGGGATTAAACCTTGGGCCTCACATATGCTTGGCAAATGCCCTACCAACTGAGCTTCCTCCCCAGCCATCTCCATTGCTCTTAACAGGCTTTGTGATAGTGTGATCAATATCCCTATGCTAGCTTACCTGGTATCTCCTTCTTCTCTCCTTTTTCTTCCCTCTCCTCTTTACTTCTTTTCCTCCTCCCCATTACTCATTTTCCCTTTCTTAGGTTATGTGGTAGCTATCCACAAGAGCTCATAGTGCCTGCATGGATCACTGACAAAGAACTAGAAAGTGTAGCAAGCTTCAGGTCGTGGAAGCGCATCCCTGCTGTTGTCTACAGGTAAGTATGTTTGACCAGCTAGGCTGGTGCAACTGTCTGTTCACTGCTGCTGCTAACTTGGAAAGAGAGAATATGGTTCAGAGAACTTTTCAGACAAGTTAGTACTTCTTTTAGAAATTCCTGAAGTTGCTTTTCCAGTACACATTGATGTACTCACTGTATCTGGAATACCTGGTGGTTCAATTGACATTGATGAAAAAACATTAATAAAAAGGTGACTATACATGGAATTTCACGATCCTTCTTACATTCATTCTGTGAGAAGATAATGTGCTTACTGCGTTTAGTTTTGGATATTAAGGCCTTTGGATTAAGAGAGAAGTGTTCTAGAATGTGAGGTCTGGAAGCATAGAGTTGAATCATCTGTGATTGTGATTAACACTTAGACATGTTAGGGGCTGGGCATTTAGCTCAGCGGCATCAGTACCTGCCTTGCAAGCAGGCGGTCGTGAGTTTGATCCCCGGTACCGATAAAAATGAAAAAGACGACCAAAAAAAAAAAAAAAAAAAAAAAAACACTTAGACATGTTGAAAAACTCAATTTTGAGAGGGAACATTTAAAGAAAAAGGCAAGGGCTGAACTGAGTAGAAAATTTGACAGACCTCTGAAGCATGAATGACAAGAGAAGCAAGTTCTAGGAGAGATTGGTAGAGTAGTGGCAGAGCACACGTTTTGGAGGCACAAACCTATTCTGACACTACATGTTGTGGCATGTGGAGTACATTTGCAAACTGATCTCAGTCTGCACCTAATGAGTAGAATGGAAATGATAGTTCTTACTTTGCAGGTATGCTGTGACAGCTGAATGAGAGCCTATTAATAAGCAACGTTTGGAGTAGATTATGTATCAGTCACACTCTCAGTTCTTACAGAATCATATTAAATTTTTAGGAAGCCACTATTATCACCTTGTAATGTTAACATTCTTCACTTTTCTAATATGTAGACTTTTCAGATTCTCCTTGAGTTGGTCAAAACCAATGACTTGGTTAGAAATTCTTTGATGTCAGGAGGCATTCCACTGGAAAAAAATTTTGTCTTTTTGAGACAGGGTTTCACAGTACAGCTCAGGCTGGCCTTGAACTCACTTTGTAGCCCAGGCTGGCCTGTAACTCACAGCCATCCTCCTGCCTCAACCTCCAGAATGCTGGGATCACACCTGGCCTTCCACTGAAACATTAAGGTTGTAGGAAGGGGTGTTTTTCCATTAGGCCCAGTGGAACCCATTAGATTTTCAGTTTCAATTTTCATCACTCTTATTTTCAGACACTCCTAGAAAAGTAGATCACCAGATTTACCTATCACTCAAGTGGTAAGGATGATATGGGAATTAGACAGCAATAAAAACCAATGAGATTTATGAGTCAGTGATCAGCCCCAGTGGAATAGAAAAGGTGGCCAGTTGGTATTCTAGCCAACAGCTGTGTTAGATCGGCAGCCTGGTATTTGTTGGGCTTGATGACTTTGAACATCAGGGTGGGACTGGGGGTGGTGGTGGGATACTCTTTTTTCCGAGTTAAAAGCTTTTGGGGAATTCTAGTTTTGGTAGAGAAGCCTAAGAGAGCTAGTTGAAGAAATGCTTGTTAAAATGCGATACAAATAAGATGCTTTTTTTTCTCTCTCTCTTTTCTAAAATTTGTTTTAGAAGGTACTAGCCGTAGGGTTTTTTCTTCTTGTAGAGATTTAGAGCATAATGAAAAATCTTATTCCAATTTTTTTCCAGAAAATGAATGTTCTTGCAGTCCATATATTTACACAGAATAGGTTTCCTGGAACTGGTCTCTGATTCAGAACAAGTGTCTTGTATATCTGAGATCAAGCCTGGGTTGCTGTATTATTTGTGAGTTTTATAAGGGATATTTTGAAGAATGTTTGAAACAATCTATCATTCTCTGCTTTGTCAGCTTAGGTGGCAGGATACCTCTGAATCTGACATAAATTTACAGAGTTTAGTTGACTGTAAACTGCAGTAATGATTCCTGATGTTGCTAGCAGCAGTTACTTGACAGTACCATGCCGAACCAGCGCCTGAGTAGGGCTTTCTCCCACTGTGATGAGAGAACATTTAATTGGATTTATAATTGAAAACACATTTCGCTAACATGGCAAGATGGTGAGAATGGCACCCATCTGTAGTTCAGTTTGCAACAGCCCCATTTGTGCCTGTAGTGATGATTAGAAATTCCTAGTCATATCGGGAACATGCCTAATACAAAGTAGACATTGTTAAGCCATTATTTATTTATAAAACTGTTAAACTATTATTTATCTATTTTAGTTGATGAGCTTGTCCTTTGGGTAAAGATCTAAAGTTTTATACTTTTCCTGACTTCCCTGTTAAAGTTATAGATTTTGTGTTTAGTGATTTTTAATTACTGTACAGTGTTAGTCTAATTTAGAGTAACACGGGTGAAATCTTAAATATTATAAAGACCAGTGGTCTTTAAAACCCAAGACCCAGGCTGAAGAGTGCCATCTACTGTTCTTGTTAAATGGTATCGGAAAGCATTGCATAGAAAGAAGATGCTTCTGAAAAGGCCCTGCCTGCCTTGCTGGGAAAGCTTTCAGCTCAGTGGTTACCTAGTACCTGTTTGCGACTAGGCATATTAATAATCAGTGAGGTTTTATTTCCATAATGTCCTCATGTAGCGTGTGGGCCACTTGAGCTTGTTGGCAGTATATAAAATACTTTCAGCTCTCCTCTGAGACACTGAGTTGGGGGACAATTAACTGGTTTTGAAAAATAATTTTGTAGTGAACTGATTACTTTTTTAATTTAAAAGTCTTATTGAGATATGCCACATATAATTTACCCTTTTTAGTATATAGTTTTTTTAGTAAACTGTATTCCAAGTTGTGCAGGCATCACTACAGTTTTATTACATTTTTATCACCTAAAAAAACCTTATATATCTAATAACTGTCCTTTCTCACTACCTCTTCAATGCCCCTAGCCCTAGGTAACCAATAACCAGTAATCTACTTTCTGTCTCTGTAGATCTGCCTATTCTGAATACTTCACATAAATGGAACCATACAATATGTGACCTTTTATGAGTTGTTTATTATTTAATTACTTACACCAATAAGACCTTGCAGTAGATTATGAGTATGGTTTCTGCTCTTGAAAAAGGATCTATCCAAGTATGACTTATTGAGATTGTTGTTTCTTTCCTTCTAAGAATCTGAGGAAAAGTAGTTGGCTCTTTGAGCTATCTTAAAAAGAGCTATTTGTGATTCATGAAATCTCAGGAGATTTTGTAAAACCATCCACTGTGGGCCAGGTAAATATTTCAGTCACAACAGTGAAATCTGTGAAAAGAGTCCCTATGCCAGCCAATAGTACACCATTGTTACAGTGAACCCTCATAAGTCAGTGAGACAACACATTTTTCTCTACTTTAACATCTTTTATGCCAGGTTATTTAGGTTCTGTGTCAGAAAAGGTAGTTAGTCTCTCCATTATTGAGTAGTAAAATTAGTGTGGCCTTTGTAGATTGTTTTTTTACCTTAGTCCCCAAACTATTCAAATATTTAAGTTGTAAATACTAACTTATTTTCTCTAAGAGTGTGTATCATCTTATTGATAACTTTATAGAGTACTCTGTGTTGTTGGTACAATAATTGATAAAGATACGTATAGCATTTGTTGTTACTTTCCCTATGTGAAATTATTACCTTCTTTAATGCTGAGAAGACTCAAAGCTAACTCAATATTTTGGAGCCAGACTTTTCATTAAGGTTTTAAAAAGGTACCTTTTCATGTGAGTATAGAATATCTGACTTAGAGCCCATTGAATGATGCAGTTGTTGTCACGTGTTCCTCACACAGACACCAGAACAATGGAGCTGTTATTGCTCGCTGTGGACAGCCGGAGGTCAGCTGGTGGGGCTGGCGAAATGCAGATGATGAGCACCTGGTACAGTCAGTAGCCAAAGCATGTGCTTCTGACTCCCGATCAAGTGGCAGCAAGCTATCTACTAGGAACAGTTCTCGAGATTTTCCCAGTCGAGGAGACCTTTCTGATGTGGAGTTTGGTAAGGTGCTCCCTGGATCCATGGCATCAGTCTTTATAGCATCTGAGGACATTTACTTGAAATGGCCTTTTCCTTAGAAAATATTAGTAGTTTTATAGAAGAGAGAGAATTTGATAGCTTTGAGGAGTCATGGCTCTTGGCGAAGAACTAGAGGACCCTTTGTTTCAAATTTCTTTTTAAGAGCCTATAGTGTTTTTCTTCTTCACCAGTATAACAAGAATGGAGTGCATATTTGGTGGGGACTTGAATTGTCAGACCTGGTGAAATGATTACAAGCATAGAAATGACATGTAGGACATCGAGCTATGTAGTTCTTGATGTGTACTATAGGAGTTGGTTTTGGAAAGTAAATTCTTGTCAACTTTTAATAAGGCAAAAGAGAAAATAGAAGTTCTGCATATTAGTGATCTGGTTAGGAATTTTTACTTGAGACTGTCTTGTTTTTGTCTTTTGTCTCTTGCTCGTTTTTGGGGGGTTACTGTAATGACCCTCTGGTTCTAATTTTCACAGTTCTTGGGATAGACAGGCTCATTTATTTTTATTCTTCTTCTGATGTCCTTAGATTCTTCTCTGTCTAATGCTTCAGGAGCAGAGAGTTTATCTATCCAGCCACAGAAGCTTTTGATATTGGATGCACGCTCCTATGCAGCAGCTGTAGCAAACCGAGCCAAAGGAGGAGGCTGTGAATGCCCAGGTGAGGTGTTTAGTATTTTATCCTGCAATACTCTCCTTCTGAGTCCAGCCCATGCTCTACCTGGACTTAGCCCTTAATTTGAAGGATAATGACAAAATTTATATAATACCATCTTTTGGTTATCAGGGCATAATTGATTTATAATGAATGACAAGCCATATTCTTTATCCTGTCTTGAGAGAGCCAGAAGTCTTAATAGTGTGTGTTCTTTTTCAAGCAGAAATGAAGGAGGAGGTACAGTGAAGCCAAATCTTTCTTCTTCTGCCTGTCTTTAAGGCGATAAAGTAGGTCATCTTCTGAGATACTACTTTAGTGGGTTCAGCTTCTCAGCTTCTGAAAGCATTTTGTTGCTTTTGACAGTGGATATGCTCATCCCTTGCTTCCTAGCAAATTCCTCATAGGGCTTCTCCTTAGAAAGCCTGGTGTGAAAATTAAAGCAGTAAATACAGGGGCTGGGGATTTAGCTCAGTGGCATAAGCACCTGCCTTGCAAGCAGGCGGTCGTGAGTTTGATCCCTGGTACCGATAAAAATGAAAAAGACAAAAAAAAAAAAAAAAAGCAGTAAATACAGAGTTCCAGTGAGAAACCCCTATTCTAACCTGTAATGCTCCTGTTTGAATGCTGGCTTCTGAAGGCCGGACCCCCTGAATGACAGTCTGATGGTGCAGACAAAAGTACACAGTTCCTTATTTAGATGTGATCTGAGCTAGAAATTGAAAGCAGCTGTACCAAGGTGAAATTTGAATGCCTGAAGATGCTGTTCTGCCAAATTCTTGTTAAAGCTATTCCAGAACCACAAGTTAGATGAGGTCCAGGAAATAAACCTAGAGTGAAATGGAAGTTTACAGGCCTTTCTTTTTATAAATAACAGCTTTTATTTTGTGTATCTGTTTTACAAATCTAACCTTCCTTTTCCACTCCTTTCACAAAGATGACTAAAATTCAAGAACTGTTTTCCTTAGAATAAGCACTGGTTGGATCTAAGCAATCCTTTAAAAAAAGAAAAGAAAAGAATAAGCATTGGGATAATAGTCATCCATCACAACATTGCAGTTTCGTTAGTCAGTAACTGCAGTGGCTGTGTGGGCCTTAAATTTAACATATTTGCATTCTCTTTATTGTTATTTTCTCCAGAATATTACCCGAATTGTGAAGTTGTATTTATGGGGATGGCAAACATTCATTCTATTCGGAGAAGTTTTCAATCTCTGCGGTTGCTGTGTACACAGATGCCAGATCCGGGAAAGTAAGAGCTTGGCTTTGGCTTTAATTTTGCTTTGCTCTTTTTAAAATGAGTTTGGAGGTATCTTTTCTTCTGTTTCTTGGTGACCTTCAGTCATACTTGCAGTTTCTGTAGATCATCTTTGTGGATCAGGAGATGGGACAACAATTGAGCCCTCTGAAATGTTTTAAAATGTGCAGTGTAGAACAAATCTCATCACTTTTGAAAATAGAAACATTGTTTTCTTGAGACCTCTTCACTCTGCCACATTATTTTTAGCCCAAAGAAATTTAATTCTTTGGTTTCTGATGTTCCTATTGATACTTGACTACTGTGAACTATGGGGTATTAAAGTCACACTTTACTCATCATGTTATATAAGGGTTAAACTCGTCATTAGGTCAGTTCCTTTTACGTCTGATTCTGATTTCTGAATTAGTCTCTTATTTATTAAGAACATTAGCATGGTTTTTATTGCTTATTAAAAATGAAGGGCTGTCTTCAATAAATGGTACTGGTAAAATTGACTCTCCTTATGCTGAGAACTAAAACTAGACCCATGCCTGTCACCATGCACTAAAGTCTAAATGAATCAAAGATTAAAATATTAAAACAGATCTAAATATTAAAACTAAATCTATTGGAAGACAAAGTAGGTAGAAATCTTGAGGACATAGGGGTAGGTAGAGAATTCATTAACAAGAATCAAACTGCATGCGAAATACTTCACAGAATCAATAACTGGGATCATGTTCTATTAAAGAGTTTTTGCATGTTGAAAGAAATCTCCAGCATAGTGAAAAGAAAACCCACAAATTGGGAAAAAATCTTAGTGAACTGTCCTTCAGACAAAAGACTATGTCTAGAACATACAAAGAATTTTTAAAATTCAGATCCCCAAAATTCAAAGACCCATTCCAAAAATGGGCATCTGAGATGAATACACAGTTCTCAGATGAAGAAATACAAATGGCAAATAAATATATGAAAAAATGTTCATCATCATTTGTCATTAGAGAAATGCAAATTAAAACAACACTGAGATTCCATTTCAATCCAGGATGTCCAGGATAAAGAAAACTACCAACAACAAATGCTGGAGAGGCTGCAGGGGAAAAGGAACTCTCCTGCACTGTTGTTGGGAGTGTAGACTGGTGCAACCACTGTGGAGGTCAGTATGGAGGTTCCTCAAAAAGCTGAGATTGGAAGACCCATTTGACTCAGCTATTCCACTTCTGGGCATATTCCCAGAAGAACTGAAAACATCATACCACAGTGATATATGTGCACCCATGTTTATAGCAGCACAATTTGGAAACAACCTAAATGCCCATTAACTGAGGAATGGATTTTTTTAAAATGTGGTATTTTTATACAATGGAGTACTACTCAGGTATAAAGAATGATCACAATAAGATATTTATAAGTAAATGGATGCAACTTGAGACCATACTTATAAATGAAGTAAATCAAACTCATGTGTAAATATCATCTCCATAATGTAAGAAGTGGTAAGAGTACATAAGATACAAAAACTCAATAAATACAGTGAAAGGATAAGAATCTGCTTAAAGAGGAAAAAATAACATCTCAGGGAAAATGAGGAAAAAGAAAAAGGAAGGGAAAAGAAAAAATATCTAAAATTATATAAACACATTTAGGATAGCTAAGATGATTGTGCTACAAATTCTACAAGTTCTTGGAACAAAATAGTTAACATTCATAGGGTTGGAACAATTGTGCATATTATTGAATGGTGATCTGAGAACTCTTGAAGATCATTATGTAAAATAACAACCCCAGTTATGCTCCTACCACCTTGTTTTGAAGACCTCTATTGTCAGTGTTTTGGGCTCTTGCTATTGTTTTTTATTTGCCTTTTTTGTTTTGTGTTTTTCTAGGAATGTGTTTTGTTTTGTTTTATTTTTCCCTCTAATATAGAAAGGATAGGTATACATGTGTAGAACTTCTCCCAAACAGTTTATGAGAATTGACTATACAATGCATGATGAAGTGGACAGCTAGGTGAAGAAAAAGAGACACTATAATACTCAGTGCTGATTCTGTAGCATCATGCTATGAAATCCAGCAATACTATTATTCTTTGTTCAGAGTGATCTTAGTCTGTTTTGTATTGTTTAATTTCAGCACATATGAAGGTATGGACAGCTGTTTTGAAGAGAATGACATACATTATGGTAGCCATTGTTGATTTCCCTATTGTCTGGTTTTGAAGGCCCAAAATGCCTTCATCCTCCTGTTCTGATCAGTTTAGTACTATTTTGTTTTGTTATGAATTCATCGTGTGTGAAGACTTGGACAACTATTTAGAAGAAAACAAGAGACAATATGATAGACAGTGATGATCTCCTGTTGTCTTGCTTTAAAATCTAAGTCTCTTACATTGTCTTCTGATCTGCTTTGTTATGTTTAGTTTTATCCTCCTTAAAATAAAATAATAAAAAGAAGAAAAATGAAAGGCTGGGATTTGCAGTGAGAAAAATGAAGTAATATCCCCTGCAAGGCTATTGTTTGAATACAAGATAAATTAGGAGCAGTGCTCTGTAAAGCAGATACGGATAGATAAATATTTAAACATTCTTGTTTTACAATTCCGGGAAATACGAGATAATGCCAGAGAAGCCAGTTTTGGTTTTTGTTTTTTTTTTTTCCCTAGTGTTTGTGCTGAAGCCTGTAGTTGTTTCCTTGGGTCAGGTACAGCAGATTATCATAATCATATCAAGTTTTGCTGCATTTCTTTATTGAATTTATTAAATCAAGTGCTGCCTGGACCACTTGTACTGACTTTTAGCTGCAAATGATAAAATTCATCACAGTTTTAATCAGCCCTGAGGGTGAAGCAGTGTCCTTTGGGAGAAAACCTGACCAAGAAATTAGTTTGCTACTTTCCTTTGAGGTTAGCTATTTGCATCTAATATTGCAATTCCAGGGCCCAGTGAGCGACACCCTCTTTCTCAAGGTGGAGTGTAGAAAAAAGCCTGGTTTAGGATCCCGGAAACCTGCCAAGAATCTGTGTGATCTTGGTCAAGTCACTTAATTACTGTGAGTCTCAGTTTTTCTGTTTGTAAAATAAAACAGTGCTATATGATCGCTAATATCTTCCAAGTTCTAAAATTTGTTCAAAAGCTGTTTTTTCCTGGATATGGTGGCACGTGTCTATAATCCTAGCACTAGGGAGGCTAAGGCAAGAGGATTACTATGATTTCGACACCAGCCTGAACTGCTGCATAGTAAGACTCTGTCTCAGTAAATTACTATATTTATATAACTTAAAAAACAAAAAAAAATTTTTTTAACTCAAGAGTCAAAAAATGGAGGCTGGAGATACAGCTCAGCGGCATGGTGCCTGCCTGGCAAGCGCAAGATCCTGAGTTCCATTCCTGGTCCAAAAGAACAAACAAACAAAAAAACAGTCAAACAATGTTAATTAGCCCTCACCAGGTCCAAATGAATGTCTGAGGGGTTTTGTTAATGAAGAACGTAATGCTTTGCAGCAGATCATAATGCAGTATTGAAGCCTACCTTGTGGATAAAAAGAAAGTGTAGCAGAGATGGGATGACTCTAACTGCAAGGAGCATAAGTATTCCCTTTTATGTCTATTTAGGGCTGTAAACAGTTAGGGAGGTGGTATGCTGCTGCTCTAGCTTGAAAGCAGCATAAGGATATGCAGTGCAGTCTCCCAGCATGTTTCAGCTGACTTCTCTCTTGGGCATAGATAATACCAACTAGTATTTCAGTCAAGTTCAAGAGAACTATCTATTAGTTCTTTTGTTAACTATTTTAACATTCTGTTGAGAAGAGAAGCTAGAAGATAATTTTTGTTCTTAAGCCTTTTTTTTTTTTTTTAAAGACTGAGGAACGAGAGTAAACAATTGACCCATCAGGAAAATTTGTTTCTTGAGTCCCTATTAGGAGACAGAAAATCTTTTACACATGGCAGGTTTCAAATCCATTAAAATAGTGGGATTCCTCTTTATTGTAGGTATTGAACTGGAGGGTGCAGGTCAGACACCTAGTGTCAGGCCTCTTGAGGAGCCACAGTCTGGTTGATATCCCAGACTAATCTATATAAAACCAGTGACTATGCACTATATCCTGTTGTCTGCTTGCCTAGCTATGAAGATACTCTTCCTTTATATTTCCAAAAATTCAGTCATTCTCTCAAGGTTTAGTAAATTTATAGCCTTCTCTATAAGCATAGTCTTGGCAAACACTGAGAACTGAAACACTGAGAGAGGTATTAATTACTTCTTCTAAAGCAGTGTTTGAAGGTTCTAACTACACACTTGACTGAGGTCCTAACTACACTCGTGACTGCATATGAAAAATAAGATCACAGCTCATTTTTGGGAAATGGGGGCAAGAGCAACAAGAAAAGCAATATGGCAACACAATTGAAAAGAAAACGAATAGGTGAGCTTGTAGTTACTCCAAGTAAAAGTTCTTGTTATCTGATGTTTGAAAAGGCCTTTTAAAAAAAAGTTCCTCTAGATCCTTGATGCATCCAATCTGGGCTATGCTCCATTACCGTGTGCTTACCATTATACTACTATGCATGAGTCTAATTCATTTTGTTGGAGCTAGCCAGTTTTAGTTAATATGTATTTAAGACCTTTGAATATCTTCTGTTTTACATGTCACACGAGGCACTCAGAAGATTCCAGAAAAGGCTACTTTTCTTACACAATGTATACCTACCTGCTGTGGACTGAAAAATACTAAAATTAATCTTCCTGGGAAATTATCCATTAAGATGTTAGTACCTAACAAAGGTGATTGTAGTGTTTCTTTTTTGGCACTGGGGTTGAACTCACAACCTCGCACTTGCCGGGCAGGTGCTGTGCTGTTGAGCTATATTCCCAGTCCCTATTATTCCTTTCATAAAAACTTTCTTTATATTTTTAGACAGGATCCTGCTGTGTAGCCCAACCCTGCAGTAAGCTTCTTGCCTTGGCCTCCTGAGTACTGGGATTACAGGAATGTACCACGATGCCGAGCTTTTCTGTTGTTTTGGAAATACTACATTTGGAGAGAAAATTTTGGGAGATCACTTTTGAATCTGACAGCTATTGAAATAATGCAATAAATCATTTTAAAAACCTAGGATTTTCTTATCCATTGTTTTTATAGTTGGCTTTCAGCTCTTGAGAGTACAAAATGGCTGCATCATCTGTCTGTGCTTCTGAAATCAGCACTTCTGGTGGTACATGCTGTGAATCGTGATCAGCGCCCAGTGTTAGTACATTGTTCAGATGGCTGGGACCGCACCCCTCAGATTGTGGCATTGGCTAAGCTCCTACTAGACCCTTATTACCGAACCATAGAGGTGAGTACATCTAAAGAATGAGAGCTGATACTTCAGGATGAGTGGGAGAAACTTCTCTGAGGGTTTTATGGTCAGTTTTGGGCATGATAATTGTGTGTAAAGAAGATAAAAGTGTTCTGTTCTAATCATTCTTCCTTTTCCTTGAGCTCAATTCTTGTAAGCCTTTTAAGATGGTACAGATTGTAGATAACATGGCATTGAAAAGTAAACATTTTCACTTGTAGCCTACCTATTTGGAAAATTTTTAACTACTCCAGGAAAATAGGACTTCTGTAACATGATTTTGCCATGTTTAGGGCAGTGGGTGTAGATATTACCAAGGTGTTCTGTGGAGAAGGAGCCCTACTCTGCAGTAGGTTGGGTTAATGATTTAAAGATGTGAGAAAAAACTGTAACACACTTAAAATATATATGAACATTTTAAAAATCTGGGATGTGAAGGATTTTACAAGCATGAATTTGTAAATGTAATATCAAAGGTAAAATTACAAACTAAAAGGGAGGAAAACATGTAGCTTTTACATGGTGAATGAAAGAGGCACAAAATATAAAAACACAAGAACGACTTAAATGGATGCAATTAGTACTCTTCCATGAGTACAGATTAGAGAACTGGGAAATTTCACTAAGTGTAAGGAAGAGAACTTTCAGCTATGGGTCTGGGCTAGAAGCACTGACAGGGAAGCTACTAATGGGGTTGCTATAGGTGATTCCGGGCTCAGGACTGTTACACTTTTGGATAGTCCAGCACAAATGGTCTCTCCTGGGTGCTTCCCTACAGGGTTTCCAGGTCCTTGTGGAGATGGAGTGGCTGGATTTTGGTCATAAGTTTGCTGACCGGTGTGGTCATGGGGAGAACTCGGACGATCTAAATGAGCGTTGCCCAGTGTTTCTGCAGTGGCTTGACTGCGTTCATCAGCTTCAGAGGCAATTTCCTTGCTCTTTTGAGTTCAATGAAGCATTCCTTGTGAGTTTGAGCTTGTGAATTGTACATTTTGGGAACCATCTAGTTTTGAGAGGTTGTCAATACAAATGTTTGTGGGTTAATTTTCACATGAAACTGTGCAACCTTTTTAGGATTTAATAGAGGAGTTTTTTTCTCCTACTTTATATCTAAAAGAATAATAAGTACGCATTTATTCAGTGAATCCAGGTGTACTAGATTTGCCTTGTGCAGGTCTTGAGTTGTGTTAAACTTACCTTTTAAAAGGGATGATAGAAACGTTAAATAGGAGTTAGAAACAAGAATGTCCCATCCTCCCTCCCAGACCATTTACCAAACTTGCCTACATCTCCTCCAGATTCTCTGCCCTCTCTCCTTTAATAGAAAATGTACTGTCCTTATCCTTTCTTATCTGCTCTACTGCCTAGATCCAGCTTTCTCCTCTCTGCCATCCACATCATGTTTCTCTACACAGTCACAGTGATTAGCACATAAACATGGTGTAGCATCCCACATTGTCTCAAAACTTTCTGTGTATTGCATTCTCTCTAGCTGTCATCCCATTTCTCTGATTTCCTTTATAACAGAACTCCTTGAGTATTCTACAGTGGATATTTCAAATTCCTCTCATCTCATTCTTTCCTAAATTTAATTAAGTCAGGCATTCACCTTGCCATTTTACCAAAGCTGCTCTTGTTAAAGTGACCAGAGATTTTTGTGTTGCTAATCTAGTGATCATTGCAATTTTCATCTCTAGCTCATCATTATCACTTGACAGTTGAACTCCTTTCTTGAAATGCTTTCTTCAGTTGGTTCTAACATTCATCATTCTTAGTTCTTCTCTTAGCTCTTTGACTAATTCTTTGTCTCTTTTGCTGATTCTTCTTGGTTTCCTCAGTTCTGAATATTGGAATGCCCCAGGATTCAGCTTCCAGACAGCTTTTCCATCAAGCCCCCTCTCTAAAGATCTCACCCAATCTAGTGCTTTAATTACCATCAATATTCTGAAGAATCTGATATGTATACATCTTTAGCTTAGACTTGTCCACTTAACTTCAGCCTCACATGCCATGTTGGAACATGGCAGGCAAGCCCTCAACCACTGAACTTTATACCCCACTCTCCTCAGATGTCTTAGTGACATTTCAGACTGAGTACATTTAAAACTTAATTCTTTATTTCCACATTTCCTCACCATAGAAATTTGGTACTTAAAGGAGACTTCCATTTCACCATATGGCAAAGCCAGCTTTCCATTCATTTAGGTCAAAACCTTTATGTCATCTTCAATGTTACATTTATTTATATTCAGTCTGTAGATTCTATAGCTCTGCTTTCAAAATATATCTAAAGTTTAATTTACTGGTGCTCCACAAGTCCACACTACTATTACCTCTTGCCCTAATTTTAGAGCATCAACTTAGCACAGAGGGATCTTTGGAAAACATGAAGTATATCATATCATTTCCCTACTCAGAAACCTCTAGTGATTACCTTTCACATAGCAAAAAACCAAAGCCCCTAAAATGGCCTACAGGGTTACTTCCTTGTCCTTTTTTCCTTGTCTGTTTCCCAAGAAGTATGTTTTCAACTCAGACTCAAATTGTACACTACTGACCTGCTGCCTCTTATGCAGTCTCTTTTAGTGATACTGGCCTCTTTATCATTCCTCAGAAATCATTAGTGTACACTCACCTTAGAGCCATTATACTTGCAGTTGCTTCGGCTTAGAACATTTCTCCTCAGATACTCATGTGACCTGCTCTTTCACTTCCATCTGGACTCAGCCAGCAAGGCCTTCCCACTGCCTACAGCTTGCCCTGTCCTCCTTATCCAGCCTTATTTTCCATAGCAGTTGTCACTTCTCCCTCACAGTTAGAGCAAGCTCCATCAGAGCAGAAAAGCTTTCTGATTATTACTGCATATCCAGGACCTGTAGTCATACCTGGGGCATGTGAAATGCTTATTAATGATTTGTTGAAAGAGTAAGTAGTTTTATCATAAGTGTACTTTTAGCATAGACTTGAGCTATACAGTGACCTGCACTTGTATCCAGCTTATACATTCTGTCACTGATGAGGATAGCTGTTACTTTAGAAGGTCAGACTGTTTAACAGGGAAGCTGAGAGGAATAGAGTACACCAGTCTGTCTTTGCCTGATGAATGCTGGTGGCTGAGATCAAATCTTGGAGCAGGCTATTGCGTGGCTTCTTTTGCTCCCCAGTCCTGGCAGAGCTAGCTGAACTTCTCTCAGGGATGTTAGCGTAAAGTGGTTTAGGTGGACTGTCTTCTACCAGAGAATGTCTGCCCTGCTACATGGTTTTGCCTCATTGGACTCCCCTAGGTGAAACTGGTGCAGCATACCTATTCCTGCCTTTTTGGAACATTCCTGTGCAACAACGCCAAGGAGAGAGGAGAAAAGCATACTCAGGAGCGGACGTGTTCTGTTTGGTCACTCCTTCGCGCAGGCAACAAGGCTTTCAAAAACCTACTGTATTCCTCTCAGTCAGATGTCGTATGTATCTCTCAGCCTTTCTTCTAATCAGCAGAATAAATTTTGGGGTGGGACACATGAATCCAAGTTTCTGTTCTTGTGAAGGGTATCTGTCTTGGGTGGGCTGGTTCCATTTTTTTCCCACTGTCATTCTAAGACCTGTTTCCTGTGATGTTCTGACCTGCTTCTGACCATTCTGTGCTCACAATGGTTTGGTGTAATGCACATCTCTACTTTGCCATCCTAGACACAAATCTTTTCTGGCATCTCCTCCAGAGCTTAATGTATTCCTAGCATGTTCTAACTGGTGGAAGAGGCACTTCCGTTGTTTCCTGGATGCTTCTGATAGTTCAGAGGAGGAGTGGGCCCCATGCCCCCAGCACTCTCCCCACATACCAGGTGATGATACACATTACAGCTTCTCTCTCAGCACAAAACTGGGCCTGATGTTGACATCAGTGTATGTGTGATTTTCTGCTCACGTGGAGAGCTAGCAGGCCCTTTAAGACTTTGTCCTCCAAAAGAATACCTGTGGTTAAGCAGAGAAAAGGAGACACATTCATCTGTGTGTTAGTGTTCCCTTTGTTGGAATACATCTTAAACCTGTAAGAAGTGAAAAGGAGGCTAATCAGGTTAATTGCTTTGTTGAGCTATTAATATTTCTCATTACATTTAAGAAAAGATTTAAGCTGATTCTCTCCCTCCTTCACTGTGCCTGTTAGGGAAGTAAAAATACAAGAAGAAAGTTCTTCATGTGATTAGTTTAAATGAGTGTATAAAACAGACTTGACAGTTTCTGTGCAGCCACGCTTTTATACCAGGGGAGCAGACAATCACATCTTACAGAATGACTCACTTTCTTATGTGGTAAAAGCAATAAATCAAGACTTTGAAAGTCAGTCATTCAGTAAAGTCAGTCATTCAGTAAAGGTGACCTCAGAAACAATTGAGAAGTAGATCGTTTAAAAAATGCTGTTAGATTTTCATGGCCACATGTTGCCAAATCAAATGTCTAGTCCTGTGTTGGTCTCAGGAGATACATCTGTATCCATTGATGCTATCTCCCTGTATATCTGTGTTTCAGCCCTGTTGAGTGTTCCAAGGTACTTGTTTGTGATCTTTCTACATCCTACCCTCAGTGGTACTGAACATTGAATCCAAGAGTGCTCTAACAGTGAGCTATATATCTCCAGCCCTTTTTATTTTTTATTTCAAGAAAAGGTCTTACCAAGTTGCACATATTTAGGAATGTTCCTACCTTATCTTCCTGACTAGCTGGAATTATAGGCATGTGCTACCATGTCCAGCTTTCCAAAAATTTCTAAGATTTAATTGTGACATGTTTAAACCTGTGTCCTTACCCTTTTCCTTAGGTACTGTACCCTGTGTGCCATGTGCGTAACCTGATGCTATGGAGTGCAGTGTACCTGCCCTGTCCATCCCCGTCTACTCCTGTGGATGACAGTTGCGCACCATATCCAGCTGCAGGCACTAGCCCTGATGATCCTCCCCTGAGCCGGTGAGACCAGGGGTTGCCGCAGACTTCTCTTCATGTATGGCTATATTCCTGTTTGGGAACATGCCCAGGGGTGGTCAGAAATCATGATATTATCTGGGTTTACAGTATCTTTCTTTGCTCTTTGAAGTTTTCTCAGGGAAGATAGTAAGAGCCTGTGTTTGAAAATAGGTTGGGCCCTGTTGCTACATTGTTCTGCCACATGCACTGAGCAATTTTTCAATGATGGAGCACATCCACTGGGCTCTTTGTGACCTGGTTTGTGTTTCTTTCATCCATTGCTGTCTTTGCTCCTATCACCTTGCTCTGATTTGTCTTCTGAGGCTTGAAAAGCATTCTGTGAGATGCTAGAAATTTTGGCTTTGCCACTTATGAATTAGCTTATTAAATTCAGAGTTGATAGGAAATAAATTTTTAAAGTACTATAATATCAAAAAATCAGTGCTGTTCTGCCACAGCATCATAAAGAACAGCTTTTTAAAGAGCATTTGCTGTTAGCATATTTGTATGGGTGGGGTATTTGTATGGAGGGGACAGTACAGATAGGGGAGCTTTTCTGCTCCACCTCCCTGAGCCGCCCTTCAGAAATGCCATGGTTTTTTTTTTTTTTTTTTTTTTTTTTTTAATGTTGTTTGTTTTTGTTTCTGTTTTGGTACTGAGAATTGAACTCAGTATCTTGAGCTTACCAGGCAGGAACTGTCCCACTGTACTACATTCCTGGCCCAGTGCCTTGGTTCCTTGTGTACTATAATGAGCAGCTTGTTATAATTTACTGTCTTTTACTTCCCTCTGAATTCCCCCAAAGATTCTAATTTTCCCTAAATCCTTCCCCCTTTTTTTAGGCTACCAAAGACTAGATCATTTGACAATCTCACCACAGTCTGTGACAGCACAGTGCCTCTAGCCAGCCGGCGCAGCAGCGACCCCAGTCTGAATGAGAAGTGGCAGGAGCACCGTCGTTCACTGGAGCTGAACAGCCTAGCCAGTCCCGGAGAGGAGCTTACTGCTGCTGCTGACAGCTTGGGGAAGCCTGGCAGGATTCCAGCAGGTGCTGAGCTGTCTGTGGCAGCTGGAGTGGCTGAAGGGCAGATGGAGAACATTTTGCAAGAGGCCACCAAAGAGGAGTGTGGAATGGACGAGCCTACCCATAGAGGCAGTGTCAAGATGCCAGAGATTAAAGAGGAGGCACCCTTAGCGAAAGAGAGCAGTGTGACTGTGGCTGAGGGCTCAGCCATTGTGTTTTATCAAGAACCAGAGCTGGATGATGCTATTTTGAGGAACCACCCAGGTACCACCCTGTCTATGTTCTCACAGGATACTCCTGAGAAGCAGAATGAGCACAATGTTCTCAGTTCACTCCAGGCTTCCCCCAAGGAAAAGGATATCCAGGAGGTCTCTATAGAACAGCCTCAAATAGGGAATATCTCAGAGGATAGCGAGGATACAATTCCTGGCATCCCAGTAGATGTTAAAGTTGGCTATCGTACCTCATTGTCTAGTTCTCTGCTACTTTCCCAAGTCCCATTTGAGACCAGAGGACCAAACATGGACAATCCCATGAACATGTTAATAGAAGATAAGGTAAAGGCAGAAAGTGAGCCTCGAGTCCATCATAGACCTTGCCCTGTAATTAGTGGCAGGTTCAGTGGCAAGGACAAACTTCCCCCAGTGCTGGAGCCCAGGCCTGTGGAGAGGAGCCTACCTGAGAGGCCCCAGGGGCTGTCTGTGGTACAGAGGACTTCCCCTGGCAGCACTATCAGCCCATCACCAGCCCCTTGTGCCTTGGCTTTAACTGAATGTAAAGAAGGACTTGTGTGCAATGGTGCCCCAGAGACTGAAAACAAGGCTTCAGAGCAGCCCCCAGTGCTTGGCACTCTTCAGAAGTACCCCACGCCCAATGGGCACTGTGCCAATGGGGAGGCTGGGAGGAGTAAGGACTCACTGAGCCGCCAGCTCTCTGCCACAAGCTGTAGCTCTGTCCACTTACACTCAAGGAACTTGCACAAGTGGCTGCACAACCACTCGGGGAGACCATCTGCAACCAGCAGCCCTGATCAGCCTTCCCGCAGCCACCTGGATGATGATGGCATGCCTGTGTACACGGACACAATCCAGCAGCGCTTGCGTCAGATTGAGTCAGGACACCAGCAGGAAGTGGAGACCCTAAAGAAACAAGTGCAGGAGCTGAAGAGTCGTCTTGAGAGCCAATACCTGACCAGCTCCCTGCACTTCAATGGGGACTTTGGAGATGAAGTGGTGAGTAGGTCATGGTTCTTCCATAACTGCCCAACACAGGACCCGTTGAGGCTGAGTACCCTTTGGACTCAGTGTGTGGTGACAGATACCGAGTTCTAAAAGGATTGAGCAGGTCCAAAGTATCCCTGCTGACAGAAGTTAGAAGTCATCTTCAGCCACCTGAATGGCAGTGTGCCTCTTTTCAGCTTTCCTTATTTCCTGTGTCCTGTTGAGACACTTAGTGAACAGGAAAGAGTTAGCATCTGGTGATCAAATTTCTTCAGAGAGTATTCTATGTCCATAGAAGGTCTTGAACTGCTGACTAGAATAGTATTTGTAAGGCAATGCCAAATATTCCTGTCAAATTGTAGTACTTGTCCTGTCAGTAACTAGTAAACTTCCAGACATGGGCTATATCTTTGAAAGCTTAGTTATTTTTTAAATGAGTATTTGGACACACACTGTGGCAGATACTGGAAGTAGAAATGGAAAGAAGGGATTGGTTTCTAGTATTGTTGAGAAGTTGTGCTGATGGTGCTAGGTGGCCAAAAATGAGGGCTCCAGTGGGAAGGTTTTCCAAAGACATTTTCTTGACAGACCTGAGTGGGTCTGTCAAGTACAAGTACGAGCCAGGCTCTGAAGCTGTCAGTGTACATTAAAGGCGAGCATATCTGATGATTTTCAATCCAAAGTAACTTTTTGGCATTTCTTTAATAATAATGATGATTTCTCATTTTTGTAAAGAGTCCTTCTGAGAAATGTGGGTATAGCCAAAGCACAGTTTTAACTAAGGAGCAAGTTTGGATCAACAGACCCACCAGAGCACTGAAACTGGGAGTTCTTACTCATCCTGGTCACTTTCCTCACTTCCTTAGCCCTGAGACCTATCTTTCCATTCTAATGTCACTGTATTGAACCCATGTGTCCCTCTTTCAGCCTCAATCTTGTCTCTGCAGTTGTTCAACACAAAACTCAGTGGCTGCTGCATCTGCAAATTTGGCAGCCCCAGCATTCAGACTCACCCATAGTCCCCAGTGCTCCCTTCTTCACCAAGCCCTTTCTTCTTTTGGGAGGAAACAAGGTTCATTCTGTTCAGCTATGTTTGTTTGCCAACAGACTTCAATACCCGACTCGGAAAGCAATCTGGATCAGAACTGTTTGTCTCGCTGCAGCACAGAGATTTTCTCTGAAGCCAGCTGGGAGCAGGTGGATAAACAGGACACAGAGGTACAGGCTCAATCCCTGCACAGAGTGCCATCCATGCAACTGTTCTGCAGTTCTTCTCTATTCCCATCCCTGCCCCATGCCCCTGGCCAAGGAAGATCATCATAATACAGTTAGCCTTGAGTCTCTGGTGTTTCAGTTCCTGTGAACCTACATCATGTCCATCATTTCTAAGCTAGGGAGCTGGTCTTCTGTCTTCAATGTCTCCATGAATTGGAACCTTGCCAGCTCTCCCAGTGACCAGGGTGCTGCCGCCTGCTATTTTATGTCAGGGGACATTGGAGTCACCTCCAGGAAAATGATGTGGACGCCTTTCTTGTACTGTTGACATCAGACCTGTTGAGCTGGTGCTATAGGAGTGTATGTGGTCCATGTAACTCTTGCTGCCCGCAGCGTGGCTCTGTTGGCTTCAGTGGAACGGCCCATTTCTGGTCACTAACCTGGCCCCACCTGTTTTGCAGATGACCCGTTGGCTTCCTGACCACCTGGCTGCCCACTGCTATGCGTGTGACAGTGCCTTCTGGCTTGCCAGCAGGAAGCACCACTGCAGGTACATTGTGGATACGGTAGGGTGGACTGGGTATGGGGACTACACAGGGTTTGCAGAGTGGAATGTAGCAGGCTTCCTGCTGGAAGTGTTCTGACTGGGCAGACCCTGGGGTCTCCTCCTTTATGTTTGCAGAATTGCATTTGGTATCTTTGTTCTAGTTTGGAGTGATCACTGTTAAATTTTGAAATGAGTAAATGATATCTTTTTTTGTTTTGTTTCCCAGATTGGTAGGGTAACATCACTCAAGTCACTGTCTTATTCCCAGTGTAAAATGCAGCATGGCTACTGTGAACAAAAACTGTTTTCTGGCTATAGTCAGAGAATTTCATTTTCCTGTTCTTTGTCTGCTCCAAGGTTCCAAACTTGTCCTTTCTGCTATTAATGAGCAGACATAGCTGGAGGCAGTAGTAGAAATAGCTGAGCATAGTCTTTAATCCTTAAGGCTCCAACTTCTCTCTCCTCCTAGGTTTGGATAGTGCGTTATTAAGGATGCCTAGGCCCAGCTGGGGTGGTGACTGTGTGGCAGATGTTCAGTGTTCTTGGGATAGGAAGTTTATTAGAATCACGCCATGGCTCACCTATACAAGTGAGCATGGATTGAAAATGGATCAGCCTCTGTCTATTAATGATGCTTCTGGGACCATGTATTTTCTCATCTTGCACTCCAAGCCCAGATGTTTTTGGTTGGCTTTTCTGAGCTCTTTCTCCCCTCCTTGCAGGGACATTGACCGTGTTGATCAAACGTGGTGAGCATCTGCAACAACCTGTCTGTGATGTCTGCACATCTACAATAACTTCACACTAATGCTGTTATTCCCTCTCTTCTACACTCACTAGGTTGAAGTCTGGGGCAGGGGAGCACAGGCAGGCAGGTGGGGTTGAGAGGATTCATAACAGTTTATAGAGGAGACCACTGAGAATGAGTCTCCAACTGTGGCAAGTGTTCTCCTCCTGACTGTTGAGGTCAACTTGTCCATCTTGCTTTTGACAAAAAGTGATGCTTCTGCAGAGGCTAATCTTGTAAGGAGCTGGTTATGTTTTCAGAGCTATTTCTTTTGAGTTGGTCATTCATTGAAATGATGCTAATAACTTACAGGTCAGATAGTACCACCACTCCTTGTATTGTTTTTAAAGAGTGCTAAATAGAGATGATCTTCTCAGAGAATTGTTTTAGCATGGAAGACTTTGAGGGAAGACTCCACTGAGGTCTTTCCGGTTTCCCTGAAAGAAGTCAGGTAGAAAAGCTTAACTGTTGAAATTCATGTCAGGCTTTTGAACTGAACTCTGGCATGTGCATTAAAGAAATTTAGTCATTCATTAATTTTTTTGTATAACCACAGATTCTTACTCGTTTTTAAGAAACAGTTATGAGAAGAAAAAGAAAAAGAAACAGTTGAAGTCCTTACTACATTCTAGAAAATGAAATTTTATGTGTTGACTTTACTTCTGTCTTTCCATTACCTTGTGTCCTACCTTTCCCTTATGTAGTTTTCTTCCATCTGAGCTCTTCTTGTGCCTGAGTGCCTTAAATCCAGAGGTAGATTTGCAAAGATAGTGAGGGACACTGGTTAAAAGGTGGCTTTTTTGTTGTTGTTTTTTTGGGGTTTTTTTCCCCTGTATATGCCTTCCCCTAGCTGTGTCAGACCACTTGGAATTTCCTATACTGGGCTCCATAAGATTGATTTATACTTTAAGGCCCAGCAAAAGTAGATTATAAGGCAGGCAGAAACTTCTCTAATACTTCTCTTTTCTCTTAGTTGTAATAGGTATTGGTCAGGATGTATGGACCTGTTATGGCACAAATACATCAGAGCAGGGCTTTTGGTGGTGGAGGAGGAGAGGGTAGCCTGGGCCTATGAGCAGTCAGGCTCTTGAGTGGAGCCCTAAGTTCCCCTGGAGATTCATAGAGGAGGGCAGTAAGCCATAACTGACTGACAGCTATCTAATAAAGGGGTGTGTGCGCACGTATGCTTATCCACACGCTTATCCTTCCACCTCTCCTTTTCCACTCTGAGCATGCGTCATAGGCTGCTTGACTCCTGGCTTTGCATGCTGCCTACAGAGCAATATTAGATGACAGCAGTCTGCTTTCCTGGGTTGCTCCCTGTGAGTCTCCAGAGCAGGGGCCCTTTGGCAAAACTTCTTACCTCAGCAGGGTAGGGTGCTTATCTCTGTCCTCTGAGGGGCCCAGAGATAGCTTCATTTGACTTGAGCTTCTCAGTGGTCACAAGCTACACAGAGACCATTGCCCAGATTGGTGTTGTCATTGGATAAGTTCCTGGATTAGGATTTTCCCACTGAGCTAGCAGCCGCTGCTGCTGGACCCATTTGTTTTTATGATTTCTGTTAAGCATATGCTACTCACCTGATAACCTTGAGCCATTATGGTAAGGTGACAAGTGTCTGTGGCCTCAAAATGAAAGTGACCCATGACTCTGGTAGTTAGAAATGTCTTTCCTGCCCAGCATTTAATCTCAGAGGAGTCTCTAGCACATCTGACTTACATACAACAAAATTTTGTCTTTTGAGGTTTGTTTTCCCACTACATATCTACTAGCCAAACTTAACTTCTTTGTTTGTTTTTCTCATCTCAAGGAATTGTGGAAATGTATTCTGTTCCAGTTGTTGTAACCAGAAGGTTCCAGTTCCTAGCCAGCAGCTATTTGAACCCAGTCGAGTGTGCAAGGCTTGCTATAGCAGCCTACATCCCACGAGCTCCAGCATTGACCTTGAACTGGATAAGCCCATTGCTGCCACTTCAAACTGAAGTTCGGTGACCTGGAGTGGGCAGAGGCGAAGCTGCTGTTCCTCTGACAGGCCTACACAGCCTGGGAAGACCGAAAGGCCCATGCACTTTGGAATGGGGCTTGGAACCACCTGTATAGAGTGACAGAAATTGGGATGTACCACTGGATTGTAGATTGATTTTTCTTTTAACCCCTCCTTCCTTTTCTATCCTCCCTCTGCCTTCAAAAACAAAAAAGTCCCCAGGTTGTCTTAAATTTTTTTTTCATTGAAAGACCAGAGGTTGCCAGGCCCCCGTAACTGCTGAGCTGCCTTCTGTCAGGCACACTGAGGGATAGCATGATACTTCTTGGTATAGAAGATTGGTCAGAGCCAAGAATAGAGGCCTGAGACAGTGAATAGGAAAGCAAGCCAGTACTAATATTTGTGACCATTCCTCATGCCACCGCCACATCAGACTGGTTGGGAAACCTCCACTGCTGGAGAGGCTGGAAGCATCTTCCCAAGAACACTGCCCTAGGTGCCTCTTGCTCCTGAGAGAGGGCCCATCCCACCTCATAGATAGGCAGGGATTGGCATTTGGAGGGATGGACACACAGTGCATGAAACCTCCAGACTCCTATTGGGAAAGAAAGTGTGTGTTCTTTGAGGCAAGTGACGGGTTGGGGATGGATGGTCAGTATTTGTTCCCCATGGAATTCTGTTTTTAACTTAACCCAGATTGTGTAAGGCTCCTTTCACTTTCAGGGGGTTGCTACCTAGGTAGGCTGGGTACTGCTTCCTCGGGTGTAAGAATGCAATTTGGCTACCCTGTGGTGTCTGCTGTGGCTAAGGCCTCCCTTGAGCCCAGGCATATCCAGGAGCCCTATTCCAGGGCCTGATCCCACAAACAATCTTTCTTCCTCAGCCAGCATGGGGAAATCCAGACTCAGGGTTCCAAAAATTCCCATTCCCAAACCAAACAAATCATGGATCTCACATTTAAGGGGTAGAATCAGCCTTTAGCATTAGAAAGGTCCCCATACAATTAACCTTCCTCCTCTTCCCCTTCTTTGGGCAGCACAAAGCACCCAGCAGTTCCCCTGCTCTACTCCTGACTACCTGAGTGAGCACATGCCCACTGGCTGGTGGCTGGCAGTGAAGGGATAGCTCATGATTTTGCAAGGTTTCTTAGAGAAGTAACGTGTCTTGGAGGAGATTCAGGGTACCTTTCCTGAGATTTAATGTGGTCTGAAAAGAGCCTTAAGAATATTTGTGGTAGAAGTGAGTATGGGGAGGGATAGAGAGAAGTTTAGGTTTATGCTCTGTAAGATTGGCTCCGTGTTTTGTGCATGCCTTCCCTCTTGGGGAAGGGAAAGGGCCACACTTGGCTTTGCTGAAAACTGCTACCTGATAATAATGGGGCAGATCATGGTGAGGAGGTAGGTGTGAGGTCAGGGAACACAGAAGTTCCACCCTTCTCAGCACTCCTCTTCCTCTTTGGAAGCAATTCTTGGTCAAGGGCAAGCTGTGTTTCAGGAAGGTAGCTCCTACGTGTCCTGAGTATGGTTACGTGTGGTTAGACACCTTCCCTGGCACTATCCAGCCAAATCCCAGAGCATCTTGAGCATGACCCCAACTCCCACAACAGCAAATTGCTCAGAGTCCATGCATAGTGAAACAGGGTGTAGTTCTCCACACTCTGCGTGGTCTTGTTGTGCAGGTTGGGAGAAGTCTGTGTAGTTGAAGATTGTGCAGTTCCTAGTGACAGGTGCCAAGAGGTTGTGATACGGGTTTCTTGGGTCTGATGTACAGTGTGAATAAATGCTTGCAGCTCTTAGCCCTTTTTTGATCAATGAAGCACTTTTTTATTAATATTTTTCTTTGTATGTAAAGGAGGAACCGTAACTCTCCATAGCTGTACATATAACCCTTTTCTCCTAAAGAGGAGTCAGTGCTCCTATATTTTTCATTTTTTGTCAAAGCAAGAAGTAAATACTTTAGAATTGTTAAATATATAAATAAAGCGAATAAAGTTGAGTGTTCTGCATGGTGGCATTTGCTAACACATTCTAATTCTTTGTCCAGGGGTTTACCGTTCTTCATCCCTTTTCCTGCTCGCAAAGAAGTGGTTTTGAGGTGCTGTTGGGAAGCTGACCTTTGGCAAAGGGAAACATCAGATTGTTTTTGGATTCAAGGCCCTGCCAAGGAGCCTCACCATGATTGCTAAGCACTGAAAAAGATTTCCTAAATGACTTTCCCAAGTTGAAAAAGGGAAAAACAATCAAGAATTGTACATCAGTAGTACTTAAAACTACCTCTGACCTCTTAAGTTTTTTAATTGTTTTCCTACTGCTCTGATTTGAGGGGATCTAGTCTGGGCCCTGAATTCCACGTTAGGCAGTGAGCATTAGTGCTTGACTATATGCTACGGGGAGCCAGGAGGCTTTAGGGGGAGAAAGTTAGAAAACTCCACCTGTCATTCTTGGATGAGCAGAGAGAGGAACCAGGAGTAGAAACAGAATCAGATGGGATTGGGTTTTGTGCTCAACTAGTAGTCCCCCTTTCTCCTTTACTCCCTTCTTCCCTCCATACAGAGGAAGCTCTGCTCTTTAGATCTGTGACCTGTGCTTCCATTTAAACAACACCAAGACAGCTAGTCACTTCTGAACTAGTTCTTGCTTTTAAAAGGGTGGATTTTCTTTCCCTTCATGGCTGTTGAGCATCCCTCTCACCTCTTGGTTTATGGATAAGCTATATTACATAGTTCTTTCCTCAGGAAAGTTGATGTTGAATAACACTGGCTGTGACGTTGCTAGCCCAGTATCTCAGTGGGTTGGCTGGGCTTTGAAGTGTCCTGCTCAGACCATTCCCCGTGCCCTGAGGCTTCATTCCTTGGGGCTCCCTTGGTTGGGTCACTATCTGAATGTACCCTCTGACTAAAGACCATAGCATTTAAAACATCAGCTGGTTCCAGTCTGAAAGCTGTGGGTACTGTCTGGCAGGTGTCTGAAAATAAGCCTGTCTGTGATGTCATCCGTGGCCCTTCAGTCTGCCAAGTAACCCAGTGTGTGTTCAGACAAAGTTGTGAAAAACCTGCGTGTATGTTGTGACTGATGTGTCTACACACAGCCACCATTAACTTCTGAGATTTAATGGTGTGATCCTTATCAAGTTAAAACACTGGCATGATCTAGCAGGCTTGTTGGGGTCCATAAGTGGAAAACTGCAAGAAGCATGAAGGTGAACAGTCAGGATAGTGATGAGACCTGTATAGTATAGTTCAAAGGCAAAGAACTGCCCTGTGGAAGATGGAGCTGCATGGAGAAAAGCAATTCTTTGTGGGCACTGCCAACTTTGTTTGGCCATCACATGGAGGAATTGGGTCTGAAGCACTGAGGCGCTAACAGTTACCTTGAGCTGATCATCTCTGAACTTCCCTGTTCTGGCACTGTGTCAGTAACCATGGTTTTAGATACCTTAGTCTCCTTAACGCCAGTCCCTCTCTGCCTCCAAACACAAAATGATATGACTGCCTTAATCTACTGGGATTCCCAGTAAGGCTGTGCACAGCATCTTTTCTATAGTATTTTTGCCTATTTTCCTACTGATAACTTTCCATGTTGCAGAGAGCAAGAATTAAAGTGGTACCATGACAGATCGAAAAGAGAATGAACAAAAACAGTGCCATAGAATCCTCTTTAAAGTATATTTAAGTGAGAATTGAGTGTACATCCTAGAATAAGATTGTGAGCTACTGATCTTGAGATAGCTAGTACGCTTGTCTACTTGCATTGAGGCTAGTAGGTCCTATCCTTACCAAAGTTCTAGATCTTTTAAGAATAAGGGCTGATTTGAAGGTTCCGTTGAAGTATGTCATTTGTCTGGTGCCTGTTCAAGTAACCTGTGGTTTTGGGTTGCAGCTATACCCTCCCAAGTTGTATTGGCTGAAAATGGGGCTAACAGTTTAAAATAGACTCAGTGCTCTGGAGAAAGAGTTGAGAAACATAGCACAAGTCCCAGCTATTTAATTTCTAATCACATTCCCAAGAAAGTTGCTCAAAGTTGAGGTTACTGACAAGATCTCTCAGGGGCAGGACCAGAATGTGTGAGACGCTTCCTATCAGAAGTAGGGCATGACCACTCTAAGCCTTTGACATGTAAAGATGAGTTCTGCTGTCCTAGCACCGAACTTGCTGAAGCTCTGCCTCTCTGGACTAGGTGGAAGTCATCCACTGTGCATTCTGAGCAGATATTGCTCTAACGGTCGTGTCTGCAGGGCCAGGTATGAGAGGTACAGAGAGGGGAGGGGGCATCCGCTGAACTGGGAGTTACAGTATTTTTAAATGCTGCTATTGTATTTTGTTTGCCATTTAAGTTTTTTATATCTGAGTTCCTAGCTTTTTTTTACAGTAGTCATAACATTTGCACCTGAATTGTATTTTTAGTGAAGTTTTATATCAGCATTTTAAATTGGCCTTTGCTTTCAGACTGACTTTTTTTTTTCCCTAATGAGAATATAAACCATGAAGCTTGGATGCTATTGAAATGTACTGGTGTGTTGCTGCTGATAGTAGTGCTTGCCTGTTGTGACAGCAGTGAACCTGCTGTAGCATCACTGGCCATTTAAATTGAATAAATATGTCACTGTCACCCACAGTTGTTCAGCCCCTGGATTTGGGTTGTCACTATGGTTCTCCAGTGCGGTGTCTTTGCTATGAAAGATTAATTAATTCTGCTTCTTAATCTAGGAGAAAAGGGCTCAGGAAGAAGAAAGTAGCTCAAGTCAGCATTTGTCGCCTGAGGCAAGGAATCCTGAAAGCTGGATATTTATAGAGGTGAAGAGGGACCCTACGGTCACCTACTTCCCTAGTTTTCATACTGCTCTGCTGGGCCATTGTGGGGAGAGAGCTCCCAGCCCATTCAAAGCTTTATTAGATTGCCAATGAAGTGCTAATAGAAAGTCTTTGGTTCTTAAAAGCCAAAAACCATTTAACCCAGCTTCCTCCTTTTTGTTTGAGGAAACAGGCTAAAGGAGGAACAAAGATTTACCCAGATTACCCGATAAGTTAATAGCAAAATCTAAGTAAAAACTGCTCTGACTCCATCTCTCATTTTCTTGGCCTTTCAAAAGACAGTTTTATGTAAATAGCTATTTTATTTTGGTTTTCTTTGAGTTAAGCAAGCCACAGCTCTTGGATTGGCACTTAAGAGTTACTACCAAAAGGCCTAAATTGTGAGTCCTACGCTTCCTCCTAATCCAAATCAAAGGCTTGTGATAGTGTGATCAAGTGTTTCTGTTTTTTCTTTATCCTTTCAAATACATAAAAACAAATGATGCTGTTCACATGAATCATCTAAATTAAGTCAAAACACAAATCAGTGGGGTAAGGGAGGGGAGTGTGTTTGATAAATATAAATGAATTAGTACGCAAACCATTTTAGTATCCAGCTGTGAAATTTGGTTGTATGAGACAGAGCAAGGAAATTCTGGGTTAAGTAGGTATAAAGGTGGTAATCACAGCTTGGCTGCAATCTCTGGTTACTGACGAGCTAAAGTAAATGCTTAAAACTAACAGGCTACTCAACACCCGATTTCAATCCTTATCCACTGTGTATCAAGTAAGAAACAGATTATGAACACTCAAGTTCTCAGATGAGAGCCACTAGCATTAAGTTGTCTCTGAGCTTCATGACCACAGCCCAAGCCAGCTCCCTCCCCATCAGTGACCCCTGTGAAGGTCACATGCTCTGTGATGGCAACCTTGCTATGAAATCTTGAAAGCCTCAGCTAATGTGTGTGTTAACCCTTTTAAGTGTGTATGTAAAAGATAACTTAATGGTTAACAGCATTTGGGACATGCAGAGACCTGCTAAAGTCCTGCCACAAAAGTGAGTTTGAAAAAAAAAAGAACCACTGGCTTGATGGAAAGAACCAACCTCGGATTGGAATCCCAGCCCTGTAGTACCAGGTACCCATCCAGTGGCCATTTCCTCTACAGCAAAGGACTAGCACATAGAGGAGTCTTAAGCAGGTGTTTCTTTCCTTTGTCCCATAGAATGAGGTGGTGGCATCTTGTGCCTGGCTGCCCCAGACATTCTGATCCACTGCATATTAAAAAGAGTGACCATGTGATCTGGTGTTTCTTTTTACCCTTCCAAATACATAAAAACAGATGATAGTGTGAATCATCTAAAGTCAAAGCATAACATCTTAAATCAGAAGGGTGGGGGTCTGGCTGCTTCTACCTCAAAAGGACAGGTTTTTACTTTGAAGTACGGCAAAGTGTTTGTTTGTTGTTTGTTTGTTTTTGGAAGTCCTGGGGTTGAACCCAGGGCCTCATGCAGGCTAGGCAAATGGTCTGAGCTACAGTGCCAGCCTAGCTTTGAGGCACTGTGGTTGCAGTTTTGCACTAAATTGCAAAAGTATCACTAGCCAAAGTTCATGTGTGTGTTTAATAAAGGAAATAATTTTAGGTGAAAGTCTGCATATGCATTGATGCTTGAAAATGATATAAAGGCAGTGAAAGGATCCCAAGAAAAGCTGCTTTGGGGTTTGAGGTGACAGAACTGAGTCCTACCTTAGACTGGTGTGGCCTAATTTTGCTGAACACTGATGTTTCTTAAATCTCTGAAGACCCCTGGCTGAGGAGTAGGCACTTGGAGACCTCCCACTGCCCAACCCCATCTGCATAAACACCTGAGGTAGAAGCCCAGGCCCTGCTGCCTTCTGGTCAGCAGCCCTGTAAGAATCCCTCAGCCCAGATTGGAAGAGGAAATATATTCAGATGGCCCTCTCTGCCATCTCAGTGTCACAGAAGCCCCTATTTAAGACTGTCATTAAGGCTAAAATAGACATGAATACATAGTAAATGGTTCCCCACTACTTTCTGCCAGTTGGAAAGTTAATCCCCAGGACAAGGGCTTCCTTCAAGTCCCCCACAAGGCACTGGTACCAGCTGGCACGCACTACTGGCACAGCTCTCGTCAGCCCTTGGGACATGACACCCATTAGGCTTGGGACATGTCCCTGGCACTTTGGGGGTGGTAGGAGTCTCTTCTCTGGCACTTGACTTCATAATAAGCAAGGCACCTCATGCTTTAGACTCCTGGCTGGGCCTGAGGATAAAGGCAAGATGTCAGGATATCAGTCTGTGTTGCTGAGATTGAGAAGAACCAGTCATGGAAGGCTAACAGTACCCCAGAATAATTGCCACTGAGCCCTGGAGAAGGTTCTTCATTTCAGTAGGGGTGGGCATGGCGGTACATGCCTGTAATCCCAGCACTCTGGGAGACAGGCAGAAGGATTGCGAAGTCAAGCCCAGCTTGGGCAATTTAGCAATTTGGTGAAACCCTCACCTCAGAAAATGACTGGACATGTGGCTCAATGAGAAGGTCCTGGGTTCAATCCCCAGCATTGAAAAACAAACAGAAACCTCAAAACTGAGAGGAGGGTACCCTTGAACTTTTGGCCCTCTTGTTCTTGAATCAATGTCCTTAGAAATGAGGCAGCTGTTAATGGGCCTGAGCTAGTGCCTCCCCGCTAACAGTGTACCTCAATGCCACCGTGGAAGCAGCCCTGCTCAAGTAAATCTAGGGAGTGTTGGTGAGAAATGAGGGACTGTCCGAACAGGGTTTTCCCCCTCTCCCTGCTATGCCAACATCTTGGAGGTTGTCGATAGGACAAGAACAACCCACCAATACTGCTGCTTTTCTTCTTCCCCAGCCCCTCTCCCCCCCCCCACTTTCTCTTCCTAAATATCCTCAGGTTCCAATACAATCCCACTTGTGCTGGGGACTCTGGGCACCCAGGTATAAGCACTGTGACAGTAGGCTAAACATAGGTGACCACGGAGGCCATTTTATGGGTAAGTGGCTCTAACAAGGACCTGGTCTCCCAAAAAGGAAACGCTGACTTTTGCAGCTCATCCTGAGTTGGCCAGCAAGGGCAAGAGTCTGTCCCTGGTTCTTGGGCTCCAAGAGCTGCTACACTATAGGAACAGCTTGCCTGGCCCTTCCTTGTCCTTAAGGAAGTGGGGGAGGTGGTGCTAAAGCACTTTCAGCTGTCCAGAATGTGGACGTCTCTGCTAACTCAGGCCTTTTGAGGGCTGTTCTCACTGTACAGTAGGTTCTTCTGGAGGGTTTTCCAATAATACTGCATTTTAAAATAGTTACACTGGGGACTGGGGACTTAGCTCATGGCATAAGCACCTGCCTTGCAAGCAGGCGGTTGTGAGTTCGATCCCCGGTACCCGAAAAAAGAAAAAAAAATAGTTACACTGACCTTGGGGAGGTACCTCACAGTGGAACACTTGCCTAGCATGTGGGAAGCTGAGTTCCATCCCCAACACTGAAAAAAAGTGATACGGTTGTTAACACAAATTTAATACAAAAATGTATACAGTCACAAGTAAGACTCCTGTTTCCTGGAGGCAACTGACTGACTTGGTGGGTTGCCATGGTTTTGATTTATTTTTAATACTATATATCAAGGCTTCATTTATTTTTGGTACCTGTTACACACTCATCAAACCATGGTATAAATTTTATCTTGCAGCAAAAGCTCTAACATAAATGACATCAGTCACAAGGTGTGGGGTTTTGTGTCTCATGCCTTTAGTCTCTCTCAATTTGTTTCCTTCCCTGCCCTTAAAGCTGTCAAATTTTCAGACCTGAAAAGCAAATGTTGCAAGTCCAAGTATCCCTCTCCTTACCTTCAATGTGGATCTTCTAGAAAGAGTTGGCCTCTACGCCACCTTCCCTTCTTCCTCACCACACTCCTGCTGTCTCATGCTGCACTGGTGCCATTCATGCACACCAGCCCTGCTCCAAAGCCACCTCTCAGCCACCTGAGGATACGCAGCTGTCACCTCCGCCATGTCTTCTGCCCTGCAGTTGTCTGTGATGCTCCTGAGGCTCAGCTCCTACCCTCCTTCCCTCATGCTTTCTAGGAGATTCAGGAAGCAGGCTTGTGGGTACAGGTCAGTGGGGCACTTGCCCTGGGTTGCATCCTTAGCACTGAGGAAAAAAAATTCTCAAAACAGAAGCGTGTTGTTAGCCAGGCGTGGTGGCTCATGCCTGTAATCCCAGCACTCGGGAGGCTGAGACAGGAGGATCGTTGTGAGTTCGAGACCAGGCTGGGCTACAAAGTGAGCTCAAGGCCAGCCTGAACTGCACAGCGAGACCCTGTCTCAAAAAGACAAAATTAAAAAAACACACAGAAGCGTGTTGCTGCTAACCTCAGTTCATCTGAATTCTGCCAGAGATGCAGGGGAGGCTCCTTCCCCATATGCTAGAGGAGACTGCATTAGCTGCCCCCAGCCAGCCCATGGGACCATGCCTCACATGTATGTTTCTGTATTCCTCCCCAACATGGCTCTGTCATGTAGATTTGGGGGCTAGTTTTCATGGACACAGAGGCTGTGCTGTTCTCTGCCTGTAGGATGTGGGCAATGCCTAGCACAGGGATGACATCAGTCCCCATTTGACTTTTCTCCCAACCTGAAGAAGGAAGTAAGTTCACACCTATTTCCATGTTACAGCTGAATTTCCCCCAACACCTCTGTGGGGAATACTGCCATTTAAACCCTTTATGAAGCTCTTACATAGGAAGTTCTGACCCATACCATGATGTGAATGAACCAGAGTAGCCAAAGCCATTGCATACAGTTTTGTGTGCTGCCCTAGGGGGGAACAGGAGGCTGTATCAGGGTCTCTTGGGAAACTCTTGGCACCCAGGTCCTGAGGTACTTAGAGACCCACTCCCTACCCCCAGCATTTGAAGTTCCTGGGTCTGACTGAGGGCAAGAGCCAGGCTGGCTGCTTGGGCCCCTTGGTGCCACCTCAGCAGCCTGGCACACCACAGTGCTAGGGAGACTGGCCAAGGCCTCAACTGGGGCCTTTGGTTCTAGCAGCTCTGGATATGCCTTGTGACTCACTCTAAACAAGAAGTTAGGTACGGCTGTGTCCAGACTTCCCTGGTGACTCATGCATTCCCACCCCCGCTGTTCTGTGAGTTGTCATGGCATTTTTGTCAGTCTCTGGCACTATTTGCCCTAAATTATGTGCCCTGTTAGGGAAAATGAGGCAGGTAGATAAATACTTGTAAAGATTTATTACCCAAAATGAACAAGATTTGAAAAAGCCTCTTCAAGTAAAACTACCTTAAAAAGAGACCAGCGTCATATATAAAAGAGAAAAAGGTATAACCAGAATTTTATCTTGAAAAATGAAGCTTATATCTGTTCTAAATTTTAATTGGTAAAATTGTGTAAATTATTTAAATAATTTTAATTAAAACGTATTTTGTACATATTTTGAGATATATGTAATTGAACTAATAAACATAGATTACCTCATCTTTTTGTGATGAAAGAACTTAAAATTGTGATTTTTATTTTATTTTTAAATTTTTTTTATTTTTTTGAGACAGGGTCTTACTATGTATTTCTGGCTGGCTTTGAACTCAATATGTAGCCCAGGCTGGCCTCAAACTTGTGATCCTCCTGTCTCAGCCTCCCAAGTGCTGGAATCATGGGCATGCATCACCACATCTGGCTTACCTCTCAGAAATTTTTAAGAATGCATAGTTATTAACTATAGTCAGAATATTGTACACTAGATCTCCTAAATTTATTCTTCCTAGCCAATTGAAATTTTATACCCTTCAGTCACCATATTCCTAGTGTTTTTTTTGTTGGTTTGTTTTTACATCACTAGGGATTGAACCAATGGTCTTGTGCATGCTAGATAAGAACCCTACCAATGAGCTACATCCTCAACTTCTTTAAAATTTTATTTTGAGACAGGGTCTCACAAATTTTCTGGGATTGAAGTTGTTATTCTGCCTCAGCTGCCCAAGTACTAAAGCTAGGATTACAGGTGTGTGCCATTGTGCACTGGCTCCCCAGTGTTCAGTTGAGACAAGTATCTGTCAACCAAATGTAACTGCTTAGAGAAAATATTTAAGGTGTGCCCCCCCCCTCAAGTTATGACTGCAAAAATAGGAGCTCATGTTACGTTTGATGGTATGATCAGTCTCCGGATCATTTTTGCAAGTTAGTCAAGGGCTTCCTCGGTTCCCTACTTAATACTTCAACTTGATATTCAGATCATCCCCCTGTGAAGCACCTAATTAGTTAGGGTTAGGGACATGTATGTCCTCTTCATTTGTCGAGGGGCCTAATGAATTCTTTCAGAGCCTCATTTGTCAGTGGCTGGGCTCTTTTGAGCAGTTTCACTCTCCTCACAACTGTATGAAATGCTGCATGTTTTGCAAAATCTTGACTTGCACTTTGGCATTGATTTCACTGTATTTTCGTTGTCAGACATTTCCATTGTCTTCCAGTGCATGACAGATGGCAGAATGGGGCAGTTGAATGGAGTGTTGAACAGGGAGTGATGTTTACATGGAGAGTTGTAGAGGGAATACATTCCATGTCCAGTGACTTTTGCATTCTTTCGTTACTGGCTTTAAGAACTTGGATGAAGACTTTTTTTTTAGGTACTGAGGATTGAACTCACCATCTTGCGCTTGCCAGGCAGGCACTTATACCACTGAGCTATGTCCCTGGCTCTGGATTAAGACTTGAAAAAATTTTAAGGGAGGTGAATATAATACTAGAGGTTGAAACCAGGACCTCATACATGCAAATGCTGTACTGCTAATCTATACCCTCAGCCCTGGCTGCAGGAACTTGGGGACTGGCTAGTTAGATACAGCTTAAAGGACAAAGGGAGTCCATGCCGTGCTGGCCAGGGAGCCTGTTCTTTAGGGACAGTAGTGAGTTCAACAGTTAGCCGTGTGAAGTCAAAGTGAGTCAAGGTAGGAGGGGAAGTTTGCGAAACAAAGTATATGGGTTAGTGAACAAGGTAAGCCAGGAAATCTCTGTTAATTGTTTGGTCCACAGTAGTGTCCTATGTCAGGCTAAACACTGGTCCATTTCTATGGCCATTTGAAGATTCTTTTTTTTTTTTTTTTTTTTTTTTTTTGTGGTCTTTTCCCTTTTTTATCGGTACCGGGGATTGAACTCACGACTGCCTGCTTGCAAGGCAGGCGCTTATGCCGCTGAGCTAAATCCCCAGCCCCTCATTTGAAGATTCTTAACAGAAAAGGGACCAAACTGGTGGCAATAGTAAAGGTCTGTCATGAGCCAGGAACTAGTTAAGTACTTTCTATGAATCAACAAGTTTCATCTTTCAACCCATTCAGGTAGTTACTATCATATTCTCATCTAAATCTAAGGTGATTGCACTCTGTAGAGTAGGAAACGCTTTGCCCAAAGCGAACAAGCGGCATAGCCATAGTTGGCATCTGGGGCCATGCCTCCGGAAGTCACACTCCCAGCCACTGCCCATCTAGTTTCTCCTGAGCCCAGGCTGCTGGGAGGAAGCAATGGCGACCAGAGAAGAGTAGAAAGTTCAGCAAGAGGCTGTGTGCAAGAGACCTAAAACTGCAGGAGAGGGCTCTAGAGCAATGACAAAGGAACACTGAATTGTAAAAGAACTAGTGCAATTATATTGGATTCATACAGACCCATTTTTTTCCAATTTGAGTACTATGTTGAATTATGCATAAAGCAGTCAACACTATAAGAAATGAGCCACTCACTAAATTCACTTTAGTTCTGAGGAGGAGCTCCCTCTCAACTCCATGATTTCCGTGTCTAACACAGGGACAAACCTGCATTTAAGATCAATTTGCTACAGACACTAATTCCACCAGGGGCTGAGACAGCCTCAGACTGGTGATGCTGCAGTTCAGTGCCTCCCTAGGCAACTGCCTGTTTATGCCTCTGTGCCCAACAAGCCCAACTCTGGGTGGAAGCCTTGTGTTCTGGCCTCTTAGGTGCTAATCTCTAGGGTAGGCTTGAGCACGCTCATCTGCATCAATTTTCTTCTCTCCCGCTCTCTGCCTCTGTCTCTGTCTCTCTCTGTCTCTCTTTCTGTCTCTGGTTTTCTGAGACAGGGAGTTGCTCTGTAGCCCAGGCTGACCTTGAACTCACTAGGTGCCCCAGGCTGGCCTCTAACTCTTGGAGATCCTTCTGCATCAGTCTCCTGAGTGCTGGTATTACAGGCATGCGCTTGGCTGTGTCGACTTCTTGGAATGTGAGGATGCTTGTTCAGTCTACTCTTTGAGCTGCTGAGACTCCAATGAGGAAACAGAGCAAGCTTCCTTTCACTGGGTTGGTAGCTGCCAACCCAGAGAGAAGAGGGACATCTCCCAAGAGGCCAAAGTCTCCCACCTGGCCATCTCCAGCCAGGACAGTCCTCAGCGTTAAATACGAGGGTGGGAGTGTTGCTTGAGAGAGTTTCCCTGGTAAGAATGAAGCTATTGGCAGTCCCCAAGAGATGGACTCTACTGGGCAGCCTCTCTTTCAGCATGGGTGAGATGTGGGCAAGCAGCCAGCTGTGAAAGCCTCTTTGCTCCAGGGCTCACGTACCTCAAAGCAAGCCAGCATCTGGATAGACAGGCAACAACTGAACTTCCAAACACAAACATCTTACAGCATGCCTTTCCTGGGGAAGGAGAAGCACTTGCTGGCCCATTTGTAGCATTTCCTCTGTCTCCCAAAGGCAGTATTTTACAATAAACTGTCTTTCCTGGCCTCTCTGTGCAGATGGAGCTGGCCTGTATCACAGAGGGAACAGAAAAGTGGGATCAGGTCGCCCAGAGCATGGCAGGTCATGTCCGTGCCAATCAAACCGTGGCTTTTGGGGAACTGTACCCCTCCAGTCTTGGACAGGAGGAAACATCGAAAAGACCTCCAGGGGCTGGGGACTTAGCTCAGCGGCATAAGCTCCTGCCTTGCAAGCAGGCAGTCGTGAGTTCGAACTCTGGTACTGATAAAAAGGAAAAAGACAAAAAAAAAAAAAAAAAAAAAAAAAAAAAAAAAGACCTCCAATGCCCTTTCCTTGCATCCTTAGGGGCCCTCCTACCCACTCAGTTTTCTGGGCCAGAACAACTTCCTCTTTTCCTCTCCCCTCCCTCTGAATGCCCCTGCCTCTGCAAGCCATGTAGATGAGTAGCCAGACTGCTCATCAGCAGAACACGGGCTCAGCAGCAGGCGAATAGCAAAGGTGAGTAAATGAGTAACACATGAGCAAATGGAGGATTCTTACAAAATATTAAGCAGAAAGAACAAAATTATGTGGTGTCCTGTCTAATCTTAACAAGTTTAAAATCAGATAAGACAGGGGGCTGGGGATTTAGCTCAGCGGCATAAGCACCTGCCTTGCAAGCAAGCAGTCGTGAGTTCGATCCCTGGTACCGATAAAAACGAAAAAAGACAAAAAAAAAAAAAATCAGATAAGACAAAAATATATTTTAGAGGTGGGTGTAAGGACATGGTAATGACAAAAGCAGGGGGCCAAGGCTGTCTTGAAGGGTGGAGAAGTTTGGGGAGGTTGGGTGGGGTTTTGAGGTGCTGGAGATGCTCCAGGTCCTGATTGGAGAGGTGGCTGTTAGAGATGCTCATGGTACAATTCATCAACCTTCACATATAGTTTCATGTACTTTCCCACACCTACACTACTTCCCAAAGTTCACAAAATAGACCCCCATACACACTCCAGGGTCCTGTCTTCTCCGGGCATGGTTCCCCAAGGGTCTCATTCAGCCCCAGTGGTCACTGAGTGGGGAGCTGTCAGGACCTGAAGACAAAGCCCACTCTGGACCCCTTCTATTTCTCTTAGAAGCTTTTTTCCAATAAATATTTTCTGCACTTAATTTAAAAAAAAGAAATCCAGGATCCCTGATCTCCTGGACAGGACATCGAGAGAAGACAGACAGGGGCTATCACTCCATGCAGCAGCCCGGCCTGTGGGAACCAGGGCTGAGTAGACAGAAAAGGGCTCTCCAGAAGTGACACGCCAGGACATAGTTCATCAGGCACAGGTGCCTGCCTGGCGAGCACATGGTCTTGAGTTAGATTTCCGGTACCAGAAAAAAAATCATAAAAGCCAAGGCCTGATGAAGAAAGAAAGAGAAAGATGATGAGCCCTGGCAACGAACCTTTTGATTACTGTCTTATCATTCCCATTTTACAGATGGGACTTACACTCCAATCTGTATGATTCAAAAGCCAGTTAACAGGAGGCCGTTGTCAGAGTCTTGGCCAGGAACGATGGTGAGGTGGACAGTGAGACAGCACCACGTGTGGGCTCTAGAGCCACTGATGGAACATGGCGAGGGGTGGCCAGTGTCACTCCCCACCGGATCAACAGCATGGATTGTGTTCCACATTTACCAAAGCAGGGGAAGGGAGGAAATCCTGCCTCAGCCTCCCCAAGTGCTGGGATTACACACAGGTTTGGAGGGGAAAAAATCATTCATCTAAATGTAATATATCCTATTTCAGCCAAAGAAGCAAGGAAGGAAGGAGAGAGGAAGGGAGAAAGGAAGGAAAGAAAAGAAAAGAAAAAGAGGATAGTTCATTCAGTGTTCTCTAACATCTTCATCCTCCCTTTGTCCAAAGCCCTCATGTGCCATAATGGCTCTTTCTGGAGTCTCAGACTCTTAGATATCCAACCAGGCAGATCAGGGACCCTGAAAGGATACTGTCCTCAGTCTTTCCTCTTTTCTTTTCTTTTCTTTTTGAGACAGGGTCTTGCTATGCAGTTCAGGCTGGTCTTGAACGCACTTTGTAGCTCAGGCTGGTCTTGAACTTGTAGCAATCATCCTGCCTCAGTCTCCTGAGTGCTGGGATTACATGCGTGCACCACCATACCTGACTCCCCCAGATCTTTCCTGTGTGAGGAAGCCCAGCAAAGGGAGAAGCCTGCTCATGGCCTCGTCCTTCTAGTTCTCAGATCGCTCTGACAGTCACCAAAGCCCAAGACCCAAGAATGTGTGTGTGTATGTTGGGAAGGGTCTTTTTTGTGAACTTGGTAAAGTAAAACACATGTAGGAAAGTGCATGAGGGGTGCCCTGTAGTGTGCCACTCTGCAGCTGAACAGGGCCCCATGTTCAGAAAGACCTGCCTGTAGCCTTCAGTTTAATGCTCCTCTGTTGCATTTTGTTTGTTTGCTTGGGACAAGGTCTTGTTATGTAATTCAAGATGACCTTGAACTCGCTATGTAGGTAACCCAGGCTGGCCTCAGACTCACAGTGACACTCCTGCCTCAGCCTCTTGAGTGCTAGGATTAGAGGTATGCACTACCATATGTGGCTTGTTGCAATCTTTAAAGTCCTTAGTGTGTGTGTGCGCGCGCGCATGCACTAAGCTACATCCCCAGCCATTTATTTATTTATTTATTGGTACCAGGGATCGAACTCACTATCTCATGCTTGCCAGGTAGGTGTTTGTGCTGCTGAGCTACGCTGGCCTTAAACTTGCTATCCTCCTGTGTCAGCCTCCAAAAGAGCTGGAATTGCAGCCAAGGGCCACTGCTCCCAGCTTGAAACTCATGATATATATATATATTTTTTTTTTGGTCTTTTTTTCGTTTTTATCGGTACCAGGGATCGAACTCATGACTGCCTGCTTGCAAAGCAAGCGCTTATGCCGCTGAGCTAAATCCCCAGCGCCGAAACTCATGATATATTAAATGAGAAGCCCCACATGTTCATTTTGCACCAGATCAAATTTACGCAGCCAGCCTTGCACATATGTCTACAACATGGTGGCGAGAGCCAGCAAGGAGCATCTTCTCCCATCTGTGGGAAGCAACCTCATTTCCAGCTGAGAAGACCCACTGCTTTACATCACAGAGACACGGTAAATAGGAAGAACTGGCTTCCTTTGTTTCTATGAAATACTCAGTTTTATGTGCAGTTTTATGTTTCTTCCTGGATGATAATTTAGGAGGGAACCCTTGGGAATGGAATACAGAAATAACAAATTATGGGCCATTAACTGTGCCTAATTGTTTCTTTATGGCTTGGAGTGGAAGCTCCCTGGCATTTGTTTAGAGGGGTGGGGGAGGAGGGCTGTCTTGGGGAGGAGGGGCAGGGGGCAGGGAGGAGCTGTCAGTAGTACTGCCTGGCTCTGAAGCCTCAACTGCCATTCAGGCCTTGCCTGCTGGGCTGGATTTCTCACCAACATGGGGAACTAGGAGTCCTTCACCCTGTGATCCAGCTCCATTCTGTTCTGCGGGTGTGGAAGTAGTCAGTTGGCTGTCCGGGTCATCCTTTAGGGTTCAACTTAAACTTACTCAAGAAATTGATCTCATTTGCCTTCCAGGCTCGAGACTGAGATAGAGGCTTAAAGAGCACTGACTCCTCACGTGTGCCTACAGATGCCCAAAGAGTAATTAATAGAAAAACAGAGAAAGTCTCAGCACCTCTTCCTTCATTTTTTTAAAAATATTTTATTTTACTTTGTTTTATTTTAATTTAAAGAAAAAAGAAAAAACAAGATAGAACAGAAAAATGGGTATAAATAATACAGAATTTCAAAAAAATTAATATTAGCCAGGCATGATGTCTCACACCTGTAATCCCAGCACACGTGAGGCTGAGGTGGGAGGATCATTGCGAGTTCAAGACCAGCCTGGGCTACAAAGTGAGCTTAAGTCCAGCCTGAACTGCATAGCGAGACCCTGTCTCAAAAAAAAAAAAAAAAAAATTAATAGTAATAAATTACTAATTGATAAATTACATACTGTAAAAGACTTTCAATGGAAACCAGGTTTGTTTGTTTGTTTGTTTGTTTGTTTTGGTACGAGGGATTGAGTGCACGACCTTGTGCTTGCCAGGCAGGCACTTGTGCCACTGAGCTAAACCCCTGGCCCTATTTTATTTTATTAGTTTTTGAAACAGTCTCACCGTGTAGTTCAGGCTATTCTTGAACTGTGTAGCCCAGGCTGCCTCTAATTTGGCAGTGATCCTCCTGTCTCAGCCTTCTGAGTGCTGGATTATGGGTGTGCACCACCACATCTGATTCTACTTCATGTAATATCTACTTCTTTTATTACCTTAAAACCCTGGGTCTGATCCCTGCTCAGCTCTGCATATAGATATGTTAATCAGCTAAGGAGTGTTTGTGTAAAAACTGGTAATACAAGGTATATTAGTGCTAAATTAATCTCCCCTATCTTACCACCCTTCAAGACTGAAGACACCAAGGTAAGAGGTAAGAGTAACTAAGGCATGTTAACGGTTGGTAAGGACACCGAACTACCAGCTTTTCCAATATCTTGTTTCAGAACCCCTGTGGCGGCACCTAGACTAAGTCTGCAGTAATTGCCCCAAACCTGCAGTCACCTTGGATTCCAGCAGAGACTCTATAGACAGTCCATGCAAAAGTAGTCATAGCATGGGAACTGGACCGGCCCCTCAAATGATAAGGATTTGTTTAGAGCCACTTTGCAAAACCGCAACTGACATAAGAATCAACCAAACTCTAGCCCATCCCAGCAACTCTGTAAAAGCTCACTCTTTTATTAATGGGCCAGCCTGATTTCTCTCATCAAATCTATGCCCCCTACAGGTCTCCCCAAACTAAAGTCCTTTTTCAGTTTTCTCTTGCTTCTGAATTAAAAACTTTACCTTATTTTTTGGCCTTGAGTTGGCAGGAAATTCTCCTGCTCTTACCTTCTAAGTTCTACCACATCCATATTGGCCTGGCTTTTAATTTCTATTATGATCCTGAAGTCAAAGGACTTCAGATATGGTATAAAACCACTGTAAATGCTTGTTCAGTTCAGCAAACTCTAAAAGAATTAAACTGACGTGGGCATTCCCAATATAAACCTACCTCTTAGGACTGCTTTTATTGTGTCAAGGAAGAAAGTAGTTCCTAGAGTCAAATATCAGTACAACACACCAGAACCTTGGGGACACAGTGAAAGCAACCCTAAGAAAAAAGCAAATCACAATGGACCCCACTGAAGTGCAGATTAGTAACTCTCTTGAGAATCTGTACTTGAACAAATTGGAGAATTCACAAGAAATGGATGGATTCCTAGGTGTGATAAATGGCACGCATGAGAGACCATTCAAACAGGTTTTCGTGTTTAGCAACCAGGCTAGTTTATTTCCTACAGGTGCAGAGGGGCCCAGATCAAGAAAGATGTTAGCCCTCAACCAGAGGAGAGGCAGAGTTTTACAGGATTTGGGAAGGGAACTGTCATTTAAGGAATCTGGGGGGTGGGGCGCCAGTGGTCAAGGTTCACAGAATGGTCAGAACGGTCAGTGCAGGTGTGTAGATAACATCAGACTCTTTGACGCCGGAGAGATTGCATGTCCTATTCTGGTCTCATCTTCATGTCCCTGTGCTTTGTGTAGTAAGGACAGCATGGCCCATTAGTGGATTCCTGTCATTTTCTGAGAATGGCATGTTTGATGACAGGGTCTCATCTGGGTCATGCATGACACTAGCTACCTATGAATTACCAAAACAGAACCAAGAAGATATAAAACCCTCAATAATCCAATACCGGGCAATACTATTGAAACAGTAATAAATAATAAAAACTACCAACTAATGAAACCCCACATCATGAGCGATTCACTGTTAAATTCTACAAAAATTTTAGGGAAAATCCAATACCAGTACTCCTTGTGTTAGTTACTTTTTTCATTGCTGAGACAAAGTATGCAACACTCAAAGGCAAAAGAAGGAAAGGTTTATTTCAGCTCAGTTTGTAGAGATTTCAATTTATAGTTGACTAGCTCCAAGACACAATGACATGGGAGAAGGGCTTCACCCAGGTGAAACTGTGCATGGCAAAAAAGGGCAGGCAGAAGGCAGCAAGCAGCAAGTCCACGTGACCTTAGCAGTCTCCTTCTGTCCCTTTTGTATTCTATCTAGGCTACCAAGCTTAGAGAAGGTGCCCAATCAGTTAGTGGACTGATTTAGTAATCACACACTTAATCCCAGCATCATACACTCTAGATCCAGCCGCACTCAAAAAATCCTCAACCTGTGACAACATGAGGCTTTGGGAGACATCTAGACACAAGCTGTAACATTCTGCCCCAGTCACCCAAAGACTCGTAAACATTCCTTTATTCAAAATGGACTTAATCCATCTCCAAGAGTTGCCAAAGTTTCAGCAATGCTGAAAAGTCCACCCAAAGTGTCCTCTGAGATTTGAGGCAAACTCTTAGACACTAGTACAAATGAAAAAAAAGTAAACAGTTTCTGACATTCAACAGCACAAGACAGACATTACCATTCCAAAAGATACAAATAGGGGAATGCAAAGAAACAGGTCCAAAGTAAGTTCAAAATCTATTAGGGAGAGCCAGGCGTAGTGGCTCACACCTGTAATCCCAGCACTCGGGAGGCTGAGGCAGGAGGATCATTGCAAGTTCGAGACCAGCCTGGGCTACAAAGTAAGCTCAAACCCAGCCTGAACTGCATAGCGAGACCCTGTCTCAAAAAGACAAAAAAAAAAAAAAAAAAAAATCTAGTAGGGCAAATATTAAGTCCCGTAGTTTCAATGTCTAGTATCCAGGGCAATCTGTAGCAAGTTGTGAGCTCCAAAGGGCTCAGGTGATTCAGCCACTATGGCACTGCCAGTGGTGGTTAACACCTATAGCTTCTCTCTTGGGCTGGGTTTGCTGCTTCCTTGAAGTTTTCTTTAAACAATCTGCATTCCTGGCTTTTCTACTTTCTGGAGTCTCCACTGCACCTTCAGCTTCACACTCACAACTTCGCACTGCGTCTCAGGGGCACACTTCCTGGCCTCCCTGGCCTTCTGAAATCTGCGTGGAAGCCTTCCTGACCCCGTAACTCTTGCATTGTTTTGTTTTTAATGGGACAGGGTCTTGCTGTGTGGCCTAGGCTGGCCTTGAACTTGAGATAATCCTCCTGCCTCAGTCTCCCACGTGCTGGAATTACAGATGTGTACCACCATACCTGGTTCTGCTCTTGTATTATGCATGCACCTAAAACCAGCACCACATGGATGATGCTAAGGTCTGCCACAAGCTGGAGCAGGATCCAGGCTTCCTACTCTCTTGGTTTTAGGGGCCTATGAACCAAATCCTAATCAACTTTGCTAGGCCACTGCTATTCTGGAACATGGGCTCTGGGGCTCTCTTCTTAAATCAAAGTCTTTTTCTTTTGCAATTTTGAGGCAGCAAAGGCTGGAGTCTTGCTAGTTCATGTGATATTTTCAGGCCATTTTTCTATTGTCCTCTTTCTTCTCAGCAATCATATTATCCTGTGCTGCACCTTTGTGGTCCACAGTTTTACTGGTTCTTCATTTTTGGCTAAACTCACAATGTTTTTTAAATTTTAAATTTTTAAATCCATTTCATTCAAAGATAAAAAGACCAGACAGTCTCCCTATATCAGGTCACAGTGTCTGGGTTCTTGGCTCAGGATTTCCCATAGCTAAAACCAAGGCTGTTGTCTTTTCTGAGACTTGAGAGCTTTATGTGGTCTTTTTCAGGTTGTTTGCAGAATTCAGATTCCTGCAGTTGTAGAACTGAGATCCCTGTTCCCTTGTGGGGTATCGGCTGGGAGCTGCGCTTAGCTTCTACAAGTTTGTTACATTTCATCTTCAAAGGTAGTAACAAGGGATCTCCTCCATGACTGATGCCCCTGACACATATCTTTCTTAAGGATGAGCTCAGCTCTTCCTAAGATGTCATTTGATTAGGCCAGGCCCACTCAGTATAACTGTGCTTGTCAAGGGTTTGTCTTGGTGGTGGTAGGGTAGGGCATTATTTATATGTAACATTCATTAAAATACAAACCAAACCAAACCAAACCAAACCTTGAGCAACTTTCCACTGACAGCCTAGTTATGGGAATAAAGTTTATAATATTCACAAGTTCCACCCACTCACAAGAGAAAGGTTTCTCTTTAAGATTATTCCTACTATAATACCATACAACCACCTTCTGGTATCTGGACAACTAAGTTATTTCTAATATTTTGGTTTCTGCCAATAGTTACAATTACTATTCTTTTGCATTTATTTTGCATGCTTTGTAACCTTTTAACTGGAAATTATGAAAAGTGACATTTCTGGGTTGAGCAATGATTACACTTTAATTTTTTAAAATATGCAAAGATTTTTATAATAAAAAGTTTCAGGAGTCTTAAAGTACAAGAGCCTTTTTAAATATAAGCTTTTAGGGCTGGGAGTGTAGCTCAGTGGCAGAGTACTTGCTTAGCATTCATGAGGCCTCAAGTTGATAACTAAAACTTCAAAAATAAAATACATTTTAATTGGGAATATTTTTCTACAGTCTTTTTAAAAATTATTATGATAGTGCTGGTGATGGACTAAGGGCATCACCTATGCTATGCAGGCACTCTACTACTGAAACTTACCCCAGCCCATACTGTACACTTGGAAGGAAACCACTGTGTGTAGCAGGGAGTTATGCTCTACCTCACTGAGAGTGAAGTACTGACATAAGTTATTTAGAGCTTCTCATAGGAGATCTGCTTATTTTCCTCTATTTATTAATATGATCATTTAATAATGTCAGTATGTACACTTGGATACTTACTTAATACTTTGAATTCTAACTTTTGATTGATGTATGTCTATTTGTATGACTGGAGGCTATTAGTCTTTTATCCTAGTGGATGATAATATTTCTATATATACACATTTCCACAGCCTCTGTAATATTCTTTGGTGTAGTACACATTTAAAAATTTTTTTGAGACAAGGTGTCACTATGTAGTTCAGAACAGCTTTGAACTCACTGGCCTCAAAGTCACTGTGACCCTCCTGCCTCAGCCTGCCAAGTGCTGAGTTTGGCACAGCAGATGTGCACCACCCTGCTCAACTCCTTTAATTCTAATAGTAAGTTAATTCCACGTGTGTGTGTGTGTGTGTGTGCGTGTGTGTGAGTGAAACACACACACACACACACACACACACACACACACACACATACACATAGAGAAGACTGATTCAGGCTGAACCCAAGGTGTTAACATTAAGGTACATTCTGGCCTTTTTTTTTTTTTTTTTTGTCTTTTCCTTTTTTATCGGTACTGGGGATCGAACTCACAACTGCCTGCTTGCAAGGCAGGCACTTGTGCCACTGAGCTAAATTCCCAGCCTTTTTTTTTTTTTAATTTGAGACAGGTTCTTGTTAAATTGTCCAGGCTGGCCTCAAACTTGTGATCCTCCTGCCTCAGCCTGCTGAGTGACCAGCACTAGGTGTGTGCTTAACCTCCCTACTTTATTTCTGTTGCTTAAATTAGTTCAGCTTTGGCTATTGGCATTCTTTTGCTAGTACCTATGTTGCTTTGAAAGATTCCAGGTTTTGCATGTCTGTTTGTACTGTTTTGTTTTTGGAGCACTTTCTCTTTTTTGGCACTATGAGATGCCCCAGATTCATTTTGCATACAGTCATATGCTACACAATGACTTTTTTTTTGAGACAGAGTCTCACTATGTAGTTTGGGCTGATTGTAGCCCAGACTGTCTTCAAACCCCATGTGATCCTCCTGCCTCAGTTTCCTGAGTGCTGGCAGGCACATGCCACCACTCCTGGCTCGTAATGACATGTTGGGCAAGGACAGATTGCACAGATATTGGTGGTCCCATAAGATTGTTATGGAACTGAAAAATTCCTATAGCTGAATGATATTGTAATGTCACAATTTAACTCATCATCATTCAATTGTAGTGATTCTGGTGTCAACAAACCTACTGTACATGTAACAGTCATATAAAATATAGTGCATATAATTAAATATAAGAAAATATCTAACAATAATAGATTTATCATAAATACTATAGTCTCACAGCATACTGTGATTTACCCCAATAAGAGAAAGATGGATTATCTTTCTCTTTTTGGTTTCTAAAAACCATTATATATTGAGTTATGAAACTTTTATTAAATACATAGATAGTACCCAAATTATAACTTTGAACTTTATAATAATGAGACAGTGACACACATGGAGTAGAAACCATACTGGAAATTTTGCTCTTCTCCTGGAAGACACTATACAGTATGATTCTCAGGGTGCCAATCAACCCTACGATCCAGTGGATAAACAATTCATTCTACAGTGTAGTGTGTTGCTTAGTATGATATCTGGTAGGTGTATATTAAACACATTTTCAATTTAGGATATTTTCAATTTATATAGTTGGATATTTTAAATGTATTTGTTGGCTTATTGGGACATACCCATTATAAATCAAGAAGTGTCTGTAATATAATCTTAGGCCATCAATTAAAATTACTTTTTAAAACCAAAGTGTAGTGGCACATACTTGTAATCCCAGTGCTCTGGGAGGCTGAGGCAAAAGGATTGCAAGTTCAAGCCCAGCCTGGGCAATTTAGCAGAACTACCCACCTCCACCATCTCAAAATAATAGAAAGGGCTGGGAGTATAGTTCAGTATGAAAGTCTTGGGTTCAATTCCCAAAACCAACCCCCACCCCAACCAGAGAAACAGAAACTTAATTTTTTAAGTGATATTTTTGTTAGTTCCTAAGCTAATGTCTTGCAGCCTCAAACATTCCATTCTACATTGCTCTTCAATGCTGGGACTGAAACTGCAAAACTAATTACCCATAATCAGCTGACTTCTTGCCCAGCAGGGGCACTAGAGAAAGACTAGAAGACAGGAGGAAGAGTGGGGAGGGAGAAGCTTGATGTTTTGCTTGATGCTCCTGTCAGTCTTGACTCCTTCTAGGAAGGCAGCACAGGGTGCCAATTTCCAGCTTCTTGTAGCCATCCCAGAATGAGATTCACTGCAACTCTTGAGGAACCAGAATAGTGCTCTCCAAACGTTTCAGCCTCCTAATCCCTGGAGCCAGCGCAATACGTTATTTTACACTCCACAGGAGACTGCAGATGTGCCTAAGGTGAGAAGGGAGATTACCTTGATGAATCTGGCTGAGTCCAAGGTCATCACAAGAGTCTTGAAACAGGAAGAGAAGGCAAAGAATCAGTGAAGACAGTGATGAGCAATGTACAAAGGACTCAGCTTTGAAGATGGAAGAAGGAGCTAAAACCAGCGAATGCGGGTATCCTCCAGAAACTGGGAAAAGCAAGAAAATAGATTTATCCCTAGTTTCCAGAAAGGAACACAACTCAGCTGGCTGCTTGAGTTTTAGCTCAGTGAATTAAACCAAGAAAGGCTGTTGAGATGCTTAAGAACAGGAGTGCCCTAGAGCACGGGGGCCTGGTTAGTTCTGCTATTAACTAGCCGGCTTTGGGGAGTGCACAGCCCTTCTTTGAATCCCAGTTTCCTCATGCACTGTGTGCTGGGCATTACCCATTCTCATCACTGAAGGGCTTTAAGCAGAGAATGGAACGATCAGATTTGTGCTGCAGAAAGATCACTCAGGCTGCAGTATGAAAAATACGTGGCTCTTTCTTATCCATGTTTATTAAAATTTTACTAATCTTTTGAGGCCTTGTTAAATTTTTCCCTCTTTTGCAAGTTTCATTCTCAACCAGACTAACCTTTTAGTCTAAATTCTTCTGTACTTGGTGTTTCCCATAAAGCAAAAAGCTGCACAGACTGCAAACCCCTTAACATTGGGAATCACGTTTTTCATTCTCACGCTCCACGGGAAAGGTCTGCACAAGGACATAAACTCATGGAGAACTGTCCTCTGCACTAAAAAACCATTTTAGTGGGACAGAGGAAGGAATAAGTGAGTCACTCGATAATCATTTGAGGCTCAAGCCTCCTTCTGATAACAGAGTTTATCTGTGAGCCTCGAGATGTGTATGATTAAGCACCACAGGATGTATTTTCCAGGCTCTGAAAGGTCCTGAGCTGCCTGGAGTGCTGATGTTGGATGGAACTGTCTGGGAAACATGCCCTATTGTCATGAGGCTTTAATCATACCCTGAAACTCTAAAGTCTGAGTGCTTCCTTTTCACCTAGCACAATACATTGACAGCTTTGCCCTCGCTGAACTATGGATAAGTGAGAATGAGTGATAGTGACCTGTTTTTGCTTTTCTTTGTAAAGTTTCAGCTGTTAAATATATCCTTCCATAGTTCCTTGCAAGACTGTACTATGGAAAGAAAAAGATTTTATGGAACACCTATTCCACAGTTTGAAGATCTATTCTTCTGCTTTGTAATTTTAAAAACTTACAGGCAAAACCCACAAACATTTGTTATCGTCTAAGGCAAGATTGGAAAATGCCTGTGACTTTATTTTATAGAGTCTAATTAAGAACATTTGGGCCCTGGTAACCCAGAGAATTCCCAGATAATTTACAGAAGAATTTTACGGGGCATTGGGTAACAAATTATTCACAAACAGTGATTAATCTCTGAGAGTCCAGAGAGGATAGTGTTTGAGAAAGAATATGAGAGTACTTTATTATGGACATAGTCATACTTCATAATTAGATAAGAGACACATATGAGAATGCATGTGTTAAAGCAAAGACTAATTCTTTTTTAAATTTTTTTATTTTAAAAAAGATTAAGACAAGAGGACAGAACAAAGCAGATCAGAACAGATAAATGTAAGCAACACAGTATTTTGCCACAAGACAACCCAATATTAACAGTAGCTACCATAATGTCTCTTTCTTCGAAATAGTTGAGCATACTTTCACATATAATAGTATCAGGCATAACAAAATAGTATAAAACCACTCAAGAGAATGAAACTATTACAGGGCATTCAGAACCAAATAACAGAAAACAAACAATGGCTACAGTATTATCTCATTTTCCATAAAAAAATTTGGTTATACTATCACACATAATAAAATCCAGTAAGATACAACATGATAGAACCAAAGGAAACAGAAGAACAAAAGCATGGTAGGACTTCAAAGCAAGATGATACTAAATCAGCAATGGCTATCATAATGTCTTGTTTTCTTTAAAATAGCTGTTCACACCATCACAGATAATAAAATCAAACAAACCAGAATAAAACCATTCCAACTAATGAGTGAAAACATAAGGCTTGGGGCTGGGGATTTAGCTCAGTGGCATAAGCACCTGCCTTGCAAGCAGGCAGTCGTGAGTTCGATCCCTGGTACCAATAAAAACGAAAAAGACAAAAAAAAAAAAAAAAAGAAAAAAAAAGAAAACATAAGGCTTGAAAGCAATGTAATGGAGAATCATGATTACATAAAATCTTATGTACTCTTACCATTTCTTATACTAGGGAGACTATACAACATTTATACATGTGAGTTTGATTTATTTCACTTATGAGTATGGTCTCAAGTTGCGTCCATTTATTTATGATCATTCTTTATAGCTGAGTAGTACTCCACTGTATAAAAATACCACATCTTTTTATCCATTCCTCAGTCGATGGAGCAAAGACTAATTCTGACAGCACAATATAATGACCATTATGCCTCCAAGAGTACAAATAGAGGTCACCTTGAAGTAGACTTGGCCTCCCCTATGGTCACAGGGCCTGCTGCTTTCATCTACCTGCCTATTGGAATGTAAGCTCCATTGAGGAGGAATAGATATCAGGAAAAGATGTTCTGTTCTCCAAATCTGTTGAATGGGAAAATGCAGGAGAGGCAGGAATGAACCTGTGGAATGAGAAAGATACTAGGGAAGCTATATAATAAAATGTAGTTAATGTGAACCACATTCTAAATGTGGGCATTTTATTTCTCTTTTAAGCTACACAACAAATAAGCAGCAAAGGGAGGTGGATCAGAGCAGTAATTGTCAGTTAGCTGTGAGATGAAATTCTATCCTCTGGGACTCCCAGAATCATGGGATTTAAGTTATTTTCACCTAATTCTAAACTGTCTTTTAATTTTCTCTTTTTTTTCGTTCTTTTCTTTCTTTCTTTTGAGATAGGATCTCACTATGCAGTTCAGGTTAGCCTTGAGTTCACTATGTAGCCTAGGATGACCTGAAACTCATGCTGAGATTACAGGCATGTGCCACCACATCTGCTTTAAAAAACATTTAACACAAATTGCTGGCTGTGAATTTCCAAAGAGCATTTGTTTGTGTGTGTTATAGCAAATTTTGCCATGAGAAAATGTAGGAGAGGCTGGAACTGAAATGAGAAATTTATAAACATTTGTTGATTCATTAAAAACAATTATGTATTTGAGAAAAGTGACACTATTTTACATCTCTGTAACTGGGCATGGTGGTACACACTTGTAATCCCAAGATTTGGGGGACTGAGACAGGAGGATTGAGGTTTGAGGTTAGTCTGGGCTACACTGTGAGACCCTGTCTCAAAAAAAATTAAGTTGAAGCATGATTCATATGTAGTACAGCGTGTGTTTTAAACACATACTTCAAATACATGTGTATACCAAATAATCTACTTATTTCAAGAGATAGACCATTTATATCACTGGAGAAAAACATCTTGTGTCTCATTCAGTCAATACCCAGTTCCCTAGGTGTGACCATTATTCTGATTCCAACTCTGCAGATTACTTTTGTTTGTTCTTGAACATTATATAAGTGGAATCACATATTATGTATTCAACTATGTTTGGAGAACATTTTTTGTTTTTTTTTTTTTTGGAGGGGTTGAGGTTTGAACAAAGGCCTTGTGCATGCTTAGCACAAGCCTAACCTGTGGGCTATAGGCCCAGCCCTATGTCTGACTTTTTCTTTATGAATGTTTTCGAGGTCTGTTTGTGGTTGGGTGTGGTGGCACACTCCTATAATCCCAGGACTCCCAGCCTATGACAGCAGATTGAGGCAGGAGGATCATTGTGAGTTTGAGGCCAATGTGGGCTACAGTGAGTTCAAGGCCAGCCTAAACTATATAGCAAGCCCCTGGCTCAAAACGGCCAAAAAATTTAAGTAAGACTTATCTGTGTTGTTTTGTATAAATTAGTAGTCTATTCATTATCACTGCTGATAACAGTCCATCCTAGGACTATATCACAAGTCATTTTATTTTCCTGATGATGGACATTTTAATTTTGCCTAGTCTTTAGTCATTGGGAGTAAAACTGCTATGAACATTCTTGTAGAAGTTTTTGATGGACAATGAATTAATTTTTCTGGGCACTATGGATGTGGAATTCCTTTGACAGAGGTGTTGTACCTATGGCATGTGTACTACGGTGGGGTGTTTGTATCATTGAAGGCTCTAAAAAGGTTCACTGTCCTAGAACGTTGAGTAAATGTATATTTGGTTTTATAAGAAAATGCCAAATAAGAGTTTCATTTACTCCATGTCTTGGTTACTTCTCTCTCATTGCTGAGACAAAATACCCAACAACCAAAATTAAGGAAGGAAAAGTTTAGTTAGCTTACACTGTGTGGAGGTTTCAGTCCATAATCAGTTGGCTCCAAGGCAGGCTGTATGGCAACAGGGCAACACTTCAAAGAAGCAACCGGAGCAAAAGCGGGGCAAGAGCAACCCTCTTCTCCTCCTTTCTATTGTACACAGGCCACCTCTTCCCCCAGGGCAGGTGTAGCTTCACAAAAATCTCTAGGCCCTCCTCTGGAATGGGATAAGGATGTTTACAAGTGCTCCCTGCTGAGTCTTAAACTTCTAAACTTCTCAGATTGATACAATGTATCAATCATAACACTCCACATTCTCAGTAACACTTGAAGAAGATCATTTAAAAACCTTTAGTCATTCTGCTAAACACATAAGGTATTTCATTATGGATTTAATTTACTGTTATGGCTTATATTTCAATGTCCCCTCAAAGTCTGATACACTCATAGGTAGGGCTTTTGGGAGGTGACTGGGTCATGGGTGTGATACTGGATTAGTCCTCTGCATAGTTCTGGGTGTGGATGATAGATTTATTGAAGGGGGAAGACCCAGCCTGGGTGTGAGTATCACAAACCAATAGGCTGGGAGCCAGAATGAAATAAAAAGGGGAAAAAAGAAGGAAGTCACTGTGCTTCCTACCTGCCTAGCCATGAACCCTTTATCTTCTGCCATGTCCTTCTGCAGTGCCTTCCTACCTAGGAGTCAGCTGACTATGGACCGAACCCTGTACAAACTGTGAGACAAAATAAACCTTTCCTGTTTTAACTTGTGGATGTTGGTATTTCATCCTAGCTACAAGAAAGTAAGATATTTGCATTTTTAAATATTATTCTGAGTACCTTTTAGCCATTCTAATATCTTTTATGTGAAATGTGTTTTCAAATATCTTACTTTTAAAAATTTAATCTCTCAATAAAGCAAAAATTTAAAAATTGTATAACCTTTGCTCACTGATTTGTAGGGATTCTTTGTATATGTATTCTTTATCAACCTATAGCTGGCATTACTTGATTAGTCCATGGCTGGCATACTTTCTTAATGGTATTTTTTATAATCAAATGTTCTTAATTTTAATTAGATCCAATTTATCAATTTTCTTCTGTAGTTTAATAAATTTTGTAAAAATTTTTTAAAAATAAATTTTGTGATAAGATTAAGATATTTTTACCTACCCCCAACTCAATATCATGAAAATATTTGTCTATGTTTTATTTGGATGTTTCATTATTTTAGTTTTTGAATGTAGGTCTTGGATACACTTAAAAACAATTTTTTGTGTAGTTTAAATTAAGGGTTGGGGTTTCTATTTTCCACATACATACCATTGTCCCACACCATTTATTAAAATACTATCTTTCTCTAGGTAATTATAAAGGCAACTTTGATATAAATCAAGAAGTCTGTGGTTTTGGTTTCCCTGGTTTCAGTTATCTACACACAACTTTAGTCTAAAAATTTTAGATGTATTATTCCAGACATAAACAATAAATTTTCAATTAATAATTTTTAGTATCACTCTAAGTAGTAGGATGAAATCTTGTACCATCGTGTTCCATCTTGCCTGGAACATGAGTTATTCCTTTCTATCTAGTGAGTCAGCTATCCATTAACAGCTGTCTCAGCAAACCACTGTTTCACTGTTGAAGTACTTGTGTTAATAACGGCCTCAAAGCAGAAGAGGAATGGTGCAAAGAAGGTACCAGAGCATGAAACATGGAATGACAGATGTGGTGACATTGTAGAACATGCAGGAAAAAACACTGTTGATGCTCCTTGAGTCAAGATGAGGTTATGTCCTTATAAAATCATCATAAGATAAAAGCAAAAATGTATAATGTATTTAATACACCTAACCTACCAAAAAGCATAGCTTAACCCATAGCATACTATATAGTATCATTGTTTGCTCTTTTTTTTTTTTTTAACTTTTTAAACTTTTTATCGGTACTAGGGATTGAACTCAGGACCGCCTGCTTGCAAGGCAGGTGCTTACGCCGCTGAGCTAAATCCCCAGCCCCCATAGTATCATTGTTTACCCTTGTGATTCTGTGGCTGGCTGGGAGCTGGGGTTCACTGCGCTGCCTAGCATCTCAAGAGTGCTATAATGCATATCTCTATGGAAAGGAAAAGGTTAAAATTTAAACTGTGATTTCTACTGACCACATCTTATTTTGCACCACTGTATAATCAAAATACTGTAGGCTAAACTATCATTAACTTGGGGACTGTCTGTATATATCAGGCTGGGAACTATCTACAGTTTTAGGCATTCATTGGGGGTCTTCGAACATACCTCCTGGGGATAACATGAGATAATGGTATTTAAGGATGTGGTTCTAGAAATCTTCTTCTGTTCCAGGGGTCTGTTTGTCTATCCTAGCTTCAGAAGTACTCTTTTTTTTTTTTTTTTGAGACAGGGCCTTGCCATATAGTTCAGACTAGCTTTGAATTTAGTATATAGCCCAGGTTGGCCTCAAACTCACAACGATCCTCCTGCCTCAGCCTCCAGAGTGTTGAGAGTACAGGTATGCACCACCATGCCTGGCTTTTATTTTGATTTTTTTGCAAAGTACTCTATTTTAATTTTTAGCTTTATAAATTTAGTAACATAGCTGGTTACAAAGTCAACACTCAAAAATCAATAGGCTTCCTGTACATGAATAACAAACTCACTGAGAGAGAAATCAGGGAAATAACACCTTTTATAGTAACATACAAAAAATGAAATATCCTAGGAGTCAATTTAACAAAGGATGTACAAGACCTCTACATTGAAAACTATAGTTATCTGAAAAGGAGATTGAAAAGAATATTAGAAAATGGAGAGATATCCCTTACTCTTGGGTAGAAAGAACCCATACAATGAAAATGGCCATACTTCCAAACTGTTATTCAGATTCAGTACAATCCCAATCAAAATTCCAATAGCATATCTCACAGAATTAGAGAAACTAATCCCAAAATTCATCTGGAACCAGAAGAGACCTCGAATAGCAAAGGCAATCCTGGGCAACAAAGACCAGACAGAGACATCACAATCCCTGACTTGAAAATATACTACAAATCTGCTGTAATAAAAACAGTGTGGTATTGGCAAACAAACAAACAACAGACCTGCAGATCAATGGAACAGATAAGATGCAGAAACAATTCCAGATACACTAAGCCATCTTACCTTTGATAAAGGTGCCAAATATATTCTTTGGAATAAATATAGCTTCTTTAATAAATGGTGCTGAAAAAAATGGCTCTACACATGACAAAGACTAAAATGGGACCCATATCTTTCACCATGTACCAAGCTAAAACCAGTATGAATTAAAGATCTTAATATTAAAACAGAAACATTAAATCTGCTGGAAGATAGAGTAAGTAAAACTCCTCAAGACATTGGTATAAGCAAAGATTTTATGAACAAAACCCTGATTGCACAGGGACTCTCACAAAGAATCAACAACTGGGATCTCATCTTATCGAGGAGCTTCTGCACAGCAAGAGTCCAACAGAGTGAAGAGACACCCACAATATGGGAGAAAATGTTTGCCAGGTGTATCTCAAACACAAGATTTTTATTGAGAACATACTAAAGAATTAAAAAATATCAGTCATCCCAGACTTAAAGACCCAATTAAAAAATGGGCATCTGAGATGAATATACACTTCCCAGATGAAAAAATACAAACAGCAAATAAATATGTGAAAAAATGTTCAACATCACCAGTCATTTGAGAGATGCAAATTAAAACAACACTGAGATTTCACCTCAACCCGGAAAGAATGGCTGGTATCAAGAAATCAAGCAATAACAAACTATACAGGAGCTGTGGGGAAAAAGGAGCCCTTCTCCAACTGTTGGTGGGCATGCATACTGATGCAACCACTGTGGAAATCAGTGTGGAGATTCCTCAAAAAACTAGGATTAGAGGAATCATTCAATCCAGATATTCCTCTCCTGGGTATCTTCCCAAGAGAATTAAAAACATCATACCACAGTTATATATGTGCACCCATGTTTATAACAGCACACTTTGTAACAGCTGAACCTTGGAAACAACCTAAATGTCCATTGACAGAAGAATGGATGAAAAAGATGTGGTATTTTTATACCCGGAGTACTAATCAGCTTTAAAAAAGGATAAATTGGAGACTTTTATAGGTAAATGGATATAACTTGAATCCATACTCATTAGTGAAATAAATAATACACATGTGTAAATGTATTGTCTCACTAATGTGAGAAGCTAAAAGAAACAACATATGTATATGTGTATGTATATAAAAATAGTTAAGATAGTTATGCTACTGATTCCTCACAATTCACCAAAGAGAAAGATTTGTGCTGGTATTATCTGGACAGTTGAATGCAGATGTTTGTGCTCTGGGTGAATGAATGACTTGTGGATGCTAATGCACAATATATGTACCATTGTTTCCCTCTGATTGACGTGTTCTGAAATTTTGTTTTAGTTTTTTTCTTTCTTCTTTTTCAACTTGAAATAAAATGGATCTGGAAAAAATAATTTTCAGCTTTATAATAAACCTTGAAATCTTGTGCTTAAGACCTCCAACTTAATTTTTTGTACTTTATTCCCTTTGTAGACCCATAATGTACTTTGGTTTAGTCATTACTAAAAATATAAAGATGTTGTATATTGTGGCACAAGTTTGTAATCCCAACACTCTGAGGCAGGAAGATTATAAATTTGATTCCAGCCTGGGCAACTTAGTGACTCAGGGGAAACACTCTCTCAAAATAAAAAGGGCTGGGGTGTAGCTCAGTGCAAAGGGCTTAGGTTTAATGCTTAGTACTGGAAAAAACAAAAGATATCAAAGGGTCTGTAGACTTAAAGACTTGAAAGCTGCTAATTTCTTTAAAAGAAGTCCAGGATCAAATCTCAGTTCCAACCATTTATTGGCTGTATGACCTTGGCAAATAATTTAATTTTTCAATGACTCTGTTTTCTCATCTCTAAATTGGGGCAATAATAATTTATTATTATTGGGGAACCTATAATTTAACAGGGTTGGACTTGTCAAACATTATGCACTATATAAATGTTTCTGTATCTGTTAAATAAGACAGGAACATATATTTTAAAATAATATTAAGTCAAAGAACACAAAATTTAAACAGACAGGAAACACTGAAGCTTTTGACAATCTCAGGATACTCAGACTTCAGTGTGTCAGCTTTATTTAAAAATAAAAATATACAA